GAGGTTTTTAGGCTGTGGCTTTTTTGGCCACGTTCTCATGCGTTTTTTTTTTTGTACTAGTATCTATTTTTCGTTAACCAAACCTCGGGTAGTGAATTGAATACTGTCCTGCCAATGTAAACTGCATTGTCCTACCAATGTGATCCTTCATCACCACATGATATCACAAAATATGATGTTCGACAAAAATATTACAATGGAACCAGAGACTCAGGAACAACTTTTCATGTTCAATTATTACACCAGTGTAGTTTGTGTAGTTTTCTCAACGTTCCAGTGACAAAATCTTTTACTAAAATAGTACATGTATATGCAACTTATCTTGAAAGTTCATCTGTGTTGGTACAAATCATAGTTTATGCAACATTGACGATATAAAATATGACAAAATGATAAACGAGAACCTAAGCGTAAACATTACAGCATAGAGGAAAAATAGGTCGAGGGGATTGCTCTTGCATGCTGAATTCTATTAGCGGCCTTATAGAGCCGACTCGCGATCAATACGCGCACGGTGTTCTGTCCCATATCATGCGGTGACTATTTGTATTCGTGCAGTTTTCAGATATGTTTTATTGCAAAATCACCTACTTTAGGTAGCAGTACATAGAGGTGAATATTCTATATTCCTAAAGTTATTTTGGATCTAATTTATATAAGTTTCTTATGATGATTATATAAGTTGATCCACTATCTTTACTTCCTGTTATTACGATTAGATATCTGGATATAAACACACACACTACTATTATATTTCAGTCATACCATGGTATGGCTGAAATACATTGTTTTTCCTGATGTTTCTTCTTCTCCTCCTTCTTCTCCTCCTGTCATTTCTCTAAATTGATTCAATTTCTTCATTTTTTTTGGACCAAATGACCTGATATTTGGTACTAGTATGTGATTTTGGAATGTTCTATTTTTTCACAGGTGTAAGTTTGAAACAGTCCAATTTTATAGGGTGTGACTGAAATATGTTGTATTTGCTCCAGAGCAAATGCGGCCTTTCTAGTTATTATTTGCATTATTTGCTACTTACAATTTCTACCTATTTTCGAAGTAGGTCGATTTATTTTAGCCAAACTTTTTTTATCATTTGTTGGAATAAATAAATAAATGGAGCACTAATTTACGTTATTCTATTTCGGGGTTCCCCCTAGGGAACGTTGATATACATTTCGTGACAAAATGAATCAACTACGACTGAAATGCTGAGACTCGTTGGTCATTGCCCCTCGTACGTCTAATTCTCCACGCTGGTGTGTTATGTAGAGTCACGCATACATGACAGAGTAAGCAGAACGCGGATTCCCACAGGACCAGTTAGAACGGCGCGTGCGTTCTTCACACGTGAGATTATCGCTCCTGAGGAAAATAAAATTTAAAAAAGCATGACCGAGCACCACTACGTTTTATGGTTATGGTGAGGCGCAACTGGGCGCAAACAGATTAAGTCGGGTGATTAAAAAGGAAAATGTTCCCATGTAGTTATTAAAGGAATGACAGATTATCCTGTGATTTCAAGCCCTCTGCCCATTTGTCAAAATGCTCAATACTTGGGAGGGGGGCTAGCATGAGTCTTATTGATAATTATGGTCTTCATTCACTGGAACCAACGCGAAATATCTATTGGGAAATGACACTGTAAATATCGGGTAACGTAGGAAAAACTGTGATCAGATACATGACGTAGAAAAAGAAAGTACACGCATGCAGACTCACTGGGCAGTGGGGAGACGTTACTTATTTACCTTGGCATAGACGTAGACTTTGAAGTTATGTAATAAAATGTAAGTATCGTCATCTGATTTGGGCCAATCTGTACTATATTTTCAGAAGCCTCTAGAGCCTGTTAGAGGCTAATCTGACTTCTAGCTGTCAGCGTTTGAATAAGTGTTCTTATGATTTGAGGGCGCCGAATGAAAGCCGCTCCGGCCGCCCGTAGAAACAAATGCTGTCGGTTCCTGATCTCCAAGCAGATCTTTGGGTGTCTGCATGACAGTATCAAATTAGGCTAAACCTCTGCTTCGAGACCGGCCGGCCCCAGGAAATGATCAGTCCGTCATTTCTTACTCTTCAAGCGGAGGCTTAGGCTTCGGCTTCTGGCGGCAAATGGATACTGCCCTGCCATGTCAGTTTGATATTTTGCAGTCAGCAAAAGATCTGCCTTGGAGATACGCAGGGAAGCTAGCAGGAGAGATCCTCCATGTGTCCACTCGTCTCTAGATAAGACATGAGAGAACTCCCTTCTCTACGTTTAAGGAATTCAAACAGCCGTTCCGAAAGGTGTAACCGATCTACATACAAACTCATTTAGTTCAATATATGGATACGGAGAATATGAGCAGCTATGCTAGAATATACTAGTGAGTCGTGACAAACAAATGACTTATGAAAGGATCACATTTCTACTGTGGTTAAGCAAAATTGATGCGTAATATGGAGCCATTTAGGTTTTTCTCTGTGAGCTCCCAGTTCTCATTTCTCATTACTGATTCTTGCCTGGAGGCAGAAACCCAATTTGACAGGGACAGTTCATTTCATTGCGACCCAGGTGACTACGGAAACGCAATTACCATTCTGCCCTGAGGTTATCCCAAATCTGGTCAGTCTTTGCCTCTAAGACAGTGCAGTATTTCTTGAAAAGCATCTATAGTATGTGTACGGTATGCAATAATGGTTTCACTTATCTGTAACACAGCTGATATGTACATGCACTTGATTTTGTATTTTATAGCTTTGGAAAGTATGCCATATCAACAATTATGTTCAAGTCTTTCAGGTATTGGCACGATATTTTAGTGATATTGGAATGAATTTCACGTCTTTATTTTCTATTGCAGGCACCAAACACGCTGCAAAAAACAGGTTATGAAAGCAAGGAGGATCCTTGATGAAAGGGAAATGCGGAAAACGCAGTCACGAAGACCACTCGACTTAGTTGAAGGCAATGCACGTTTCGTTAGATCAGTTTCCTGTTCGTTAGACTGACTACTGCCACTTTTGTTACCTTTATCTGGTATGCGCCGGGCTACATACACATCGACCTGATTTCTTGTTACCTCCTTACGTGGAGGTATTGTTTGTAGTGTGTGTGTATGAGGGCAGGAAGTAAGATTTTTAACCGTACATTGACCGGAAGGCGAAATATTCAAAATAGTCTCCCCGCAGGCTGGGAGGAAGTAAAGGTCACCCCATTTCCTGTCTTCAGTTTCCTGCTTTATTCAGGCCAATTTCCTAAAGGACGTCAGTGGGGAAAATCATGTAGGTTTCAATAAAAACCTAATTTGCATACTCTTAAAGATTCAACGAGAAAATTTACTATAATAAATAAAACAAGAACTTCACAACAGGTGTAAATGCTTCACAGAGTTGAGGTATTACTGAGGAATCTGACCAGATTTAGTTGTCACCTACTTTTCTATATAAATCCAATCGAATTGGAGCTGAATATGAGTCAGATATGACTCCCGAACAACTCTGACCTACTCCCAAACACCAACCAGCCATCCAGCGAACACGAACGTTTTAAACATTTTGAAACATTCCGGGCTATGCGTGACGGGGCTTTGCCCAGTCGGAATCAGGGTTTTACTTGCGTTTACTCCGCATGTGGATCACGCGTGGCTTGACACGCATTACGGGCGGGTTTTTATAGATTCGCAGTGACGATAACCTGCATTAGAGCCTGAAAGGCCCTGGCTGACGGCGCAGGTGAAAGATGATACCCACTGTTGTAAAGAGTTCAATACATTCGCGAGTGGTTCGATATTTCCAGGTTAACGTTCGGAGTGCAGTTAAAGTGGAGGTGACCGGGAAGGGGGGGGGGGGCACCAGTGTAATGCCTGGAGTCCAAGATTTGAGCACTGTAGCGGAGATGCCCAAAATGATTGCATATTGAAAAGAAATCTTAAACCAACATTATATATGTGTCTAAGAAACCTTAGTCAATTAAGAATGGAATTTCATCTGTCTTGGTACAAGTCATAACTACATGTAAGTTAGTCAATCCACTAAACTAGATTCAAGATCCACAAGATTTCAAGATTCCATTCGTTAGTTTTCATCTGTTACTTCAGCACAGTACCACCTGCCGATCATTCTTATAAAAGACAGTCATTATACAATACCAGAAGTACAAATGGCCAGTCCTTGCCACGCGTAGCTGACCCCCCAAGGCGGCGCAAAGCGGACCTTAATGAGCAATTAAGACGGCTCACCGTCTTTAAGTACCTTGTTATGATCCTATGGTAAGACGGATATGCCATTTCTACGTCTGCGGTTGGTTTCCTAGGTTGCTCGCTATTGCTTTCGACGAAATAAGTAAAATTGCAAAGGGAGAACATAACGGCACCGGTGTAACCGTTTAAAGCATCAGTGTAACGATTTAGACACCAGTGTAGTGGTTTGGACATCAGTGTAACGATTTAGGTATCAGTGTAGCTGTTTCCACTAGTTTAGCGGTTTTGACATCATTGTAACGATTTAGGGACCAGTCTAGCGGTTTAGACATCATGAACGATTTAGGCACCGGTGTAGCGGTTTAGGCACCAGTGTAGCGGGTTTTTAGACATCAGCGTAACAATTCAGGCACCAGTGTGGCCGTTTAGGTCCATTTAAAGCAGATAGCTGGCAACTGTAATGAAGAAGTAGGACACGCACTTCCCACAAATTCGGACCCATCACAAAAAAGTGGACCAAAACCGCACCTAGTTCATACAGTTCTGTATAGTAACGTTAGTATCTATGCTGGCTATACATCTATTTTGTGATGATATTCTTATTCCTAATGCACAGTCATATAGCAAAAGAGATCCTTGTTTTACGTAACAGAGAAATACATGTAGTTGATGAGGTTAGGCTGATTTAAAAAAAACGAGTTGGGGAAAAGGTAGACATAGGAGGAGTTCAGGATATTCAGGGGGTACAGCTGTGTGAACAAACAAGTAAACAAACAAACAAACAAACAATTGCAAACAAACAAACAAACAAACACCGACCTGTGAGGAAGCTGAGGCGGCGCATGGCCGGGAAAGGATGGACGCCGGACGTGTCCAGGATGTCCAGGCGGTAGACCTCGCCCCGGATCCGGTACATCTTGCGGTGGAAGTCCTCGATGGTCGGCGTGTACTGATCGTCGTACTGGTTGAAGAGAAAGCGGGAGACGATGGCGGTCTTGCCGACGCGCGCCGTTCCCAGCACCACCAGGCGGAAACAGTTCTTGGGCGGCGCGGCGCACTCGTCTACCAGATGCGAGGACATGGCCGGGGCAGGGGGGCGGCACGCGGGTGGCGGTGGGGAGGGGGGCGCTTTTACTTGGCTCTCGCAGAATGTGTGGCACTCAGAAGCGTGGTGCGGGAGACAGACGCGGATTCCTCCGTGCGCTGATGAACGTCGTGAAGTGATTGGTCAGACGCACAGGTGAACTCCTACCTGGCACAGATGCCGGGATGATGAGATGACTCGCGGACTGAACGGTTTGCACGGACGGGCGAAACTTCGCAGTGGTGAGTAGCCCTGACCGAGCGAAACTTCGCAGTGGTGAGTAGCCCTGGAGTCGGGTCGGGAGATAGGTGAACACTGCGACAATCAGACTAGGTTTGCAGAGAAACGTACGACTAGCCTGTATCCCAGCTACTACAGTCAGGAGCAGCTTACAGGGAGTGAAGCACGTCACGCGTTACAAGTGTTTCCGCAAACGACTCTCCAGCCTGAAGGCGCTGCGAACACACGATGAAGCCCGTAGACTGGCACGTGCAGACGGCCCCGGGATTTCCGGCAGTCCGTTGTCGTGATATTTCTTCCAACAATTCAGCCGTCAGTCTCCTTTCCTTTGGGGCCGATATCTACACGGACCGATGCTAGATAGATAAGAGTAATCAACTTCCTCTGTAGTATATTATATAGAGAAGAGAGGGGATAGAGCTTTCCCTCCCTCCGTGTGAAATGGACGTGTCCGCGTCTCACGTGCGGGGTAAGGTGCCTCCAGGGGCGCCCATTTCACGTGAATGAACGGGGATCTTTACCGGCACCACGGGCGGCCCGCGCGGCCTCACGGGGCGAGCGTTTTGTGCCTGTCTGTCCGCCGCAGCGCCCGTGTAGCGACTGCTGCGTTATCGGAGTCGACAGAAGGACGCCTCCGGCTCCCCGCGGCGCTCTCTTGATCTCCCGTCTTCTGCAGCGGCGACTGACTTTAAAGCAAGCCTCGCGACTTTGATATGAGAGTTCCTGTTGTCGCAGCCGGCGGCGATGAAGAGACAAGCGGGTATCAGGAACGTTTCAGCCGCAAATCAGCTCCGCTCCGGGATACAGTCAAGTCAGTAAGACTTGAAGGCTGTATTTGCCCAAAAAGTCCTGGATGTACGGGTTTGAATTGAAAACCCGGGTCGGCAACGGCAAAGTCAAGGGTCTTTGGGCTGAAATCCCGGGGCTCTAGCATGAAAACCTGGGTTTACAATGTGAGAACCTGGGTATACAACCTGCGAGTCCTGATCTATGAATTGAGAGCAGCAATTTACAATCTAGCCCGCTAGTTATCAATATCAAAATGGTTGCATATCCGTCACATTATTCTCTGGCTAAAGAGATATTTCCTGTTGAAAACAACTTTAGTTGAACCAGGAGACAATTGATATTTACCTCACCGAAATAAGACAATTACACAAAATCCACACCTTGTTTTGTAGAAAGAAGGCTTGCTAGCACTAATTCTCTTTTTTCTAGACTAGACCCCTGTCAAAACGTATCTTTTTTGGGGCGGTATCAATTATAAACTTATTCGTGCCCACCCTCTTCTCTCGTATTACTCCGACCACATTCCGTTACCCTGAAGCAAACGTCCGAATTTCAAGGTGACCTCCTTTGTGTTAAAACCGCAGTGATATTTCTGTTGCCTAGGAACCCGGGACGTGCAGGGACGGGCCCGCTGCCCGACGCTGTAAACTCCCCTGACCCGAAGCGAGGCACGCGTGAGCAGGTTTACGGGTCCGCTTGCCGTCAGCCCGCCCGGCTGAACCCACCTTGTACACGTCCGGGAAGATTGGGGGCAACGCTCGCCCCGGAATGTGCGGCCGCTCCTGTAATGTGCGTTCGGAAGACGATCGATACGAAAATCACGACCATTCAGGTGTCGGCTGCCAAGATCAGCTCTGTCTCTATTAATAGCCACACACACCGTGCTTGGAGCCGAAGTTTCCTGGAATCCACGCGGCGTGATGGTGCTAGTTTTACGAGGATTCACGCCCTGTGATGACGATCCCTCGGCGGCTCTAATCCTGCGGTCGCCGCTCCCTTCCCCCTGCCCTGAGGGGGCCCCCCGCTCGTGTCACACCGGGGCCTCTAGGACGATCGCTCGGCAGCTGCACGCATGGCCTCCCGCAGGCGCCTCCTCCTCCTCCCGTTCTACCTCAGCACACCTGCGTACCTGTTCTCCCCATCTCCCCACCCTCACCTGCAGATTCCAGCTAATCGATTCCCGGAGATGCACACCCCTCTGCTCGTGGCTGCCGCGTCAGATATCCGGAGTCGCCGTCTGCATCCCGATCAGCGAGCTGGCCCTACGCGAGCTGGTCCGGGCCCTCCCAAACGGCACCGACCGGTTCCACGGAAAAAAACAATTAGAACTGATCTACGGCGGCCGGCCTTACATATTCCTGGCCGGGCGTGTTTCGGAATGCCGAGATTTTACGGCTGGAACGCAGCGGCGCTGCATGCGAAAAGCACAACCACGGTTTCAGCACTACACGGGACAAACCTCCGCAGCTCTTAACGGGGGAAGTACGTTAATGGTGGCGTCTGGAGAGAGCTCGGGCAGGGATGAACCGTTTCATCATCAGCGTGGGTTGCCGCGGTACCAAAGAAAAATGTTTTGCCCAGGAAATTGCCCCATATATGGAAATCACACAGCTGCAGTGACAGATCATATCAAGAGAGTAATATTTCTGTTTTCCCCACCCTGTGATGTTTTCTAAATCTCTCTCTCCCTCTCTCTCTCTCCCTTTCTGCCCTTTCCGTGTTTATGTGTACGAGAACTCGTGTGTGTGTGTGTGTGTGTGTGTGTGTGTGTGTGCGCGCGCGCGTGTGTGTCCGAGCATGAGGTTGACAACGGAGAATGAAAAGTTTGTACGTAGTATAACAGCACGGTCGTCTTGCACATCTTTGCAAAATCTAAATTGTGATCGTCCATATGGCTCACGGTACCATACCATTGACTCATTACGTCATAATAACCGAGCATTTCCGGTCGCCTTTGATTCACAATGTCATAATCGATCGACCTGTACTGAAGAGGGGAAGAAATCCATTCCGCTTGACCCCACCCGGCGCAAAATTCCTCCGGGAATGCATTGATTACATTCCAGGAATGCAATGATGACGTCCTTGTCCTGCTACTGTCAATCACCCAACCTATACATAATGAAAGCCCTTTGCTCCACCGAAGCGCCATCTTCCTGGAAAATTTATTCACCGGCTGATAAAACCCTATTGATTGCGAAAAGACCGTTTCTGCCCCCGATAGCGTGCTACGTGCTCCAGTGCGCGGCCAGAGGACGACAGAAAACCGTTTCTTGTCATCGCTTCAATGTTCCTGTCCGTTGCTGAGATTTTTCTTAATATATATTTCAGTGGTTCAGCTAACGTATAGTCAACGATGCCGTATTGGCCCCGGAATGGGCTTTCGATAATAAATACTGACAGCTAGTCCAATGGGTACAAAAGATGTACTGAGAGGATTTTAATTCTTAAAATCTAAAGACATCATATAATCGTTACTGATACTGTGGCGAAGCACACCCAGACGTTCATATGGTAATATCTGACGCCGGTACGGTTGGGGAATTTCAGTATTACGGCGATGCACGTCTCAGCTTTAATTTCACTCATGATCAGGTCCAGGGATTGCGAAAGTTTGGAGGCTCCTCCCTCACTCCTACCATTCACGGTCCGCCCCGGGTCGGATGTATTTCCGATCCGCTAACCCCGTTTATACGTAGACGATATAATTTGATCAGCAACAACAGCCCACAATCAGCTCGCATACTGCTGATTCCGCAGGCGGGTCCTTTAAAAAATCCTAGTTCATCTACAGTACGACATCGGCTCTGCCTAGGTTCATCTGCAGCCCGAGCGGTAATGCAGTATTTTATGCTCATCTGCAGCCCGAGCGGTACGGCACCGGCTCTGCTCATCTGCAGCCCAAGCGGTACGGCACCGGCTCTGCTCATCTGCAGCCCAAGCGGTAAAGCAGTCGACTCTGCCTAGGTTCATCTGCAGTCCGAGCGGCAATGCAGTATTTTCTGCTCATCTGTAGCCCGAGCGGTAAGCTTAAGGAGCCTGCTCAGCTCATCTGCAGCCCGAGCGGTACGGCATCGGCTCTGCTCATCTGTAGCCCGAGCGGTACGGCATCGGCTCTGCTCATCTGTAGCCCGAGCGGTAATGCAGTATTTTCTGCTCATCTGTAGCCCGAGCGGTAAGCTTAAGGAGCCTGCTCTGCTCATCTGCAGCCCAAGCGGTAAGGAGCATGCTCTGTTGATCTGCAGCCCAAGCGGTACGGCATCGGCTCTGCTCATCTGCAGCCCAAGGGGTACGGCATCGGCTCTGCTCATCTGCAGCCCGAATGGAACGGCACTGGCTCTGCTCATCTGCAGATGATTCAACCGATTCGGATCAATACGTTGAAATGGAAACACTAAAATGTCTGACTGCACTTGACTTTACAACTGCATCTTTTCTTCGCCCCCTGATGTCTATATCGAGAAATGCAAGACGATCAGAATGTACATGTCTCTTCGTTGTCAAGTTCCCGTTTACATGGACTGGGACAGTCCGTCGTCTCAGGTTTGGTTCGATGGTGTGATATAAACAACCGTCGCCACTGGCGTGTTACGCCGAAGGGCGGTTATTTCGGTTTAATACTTAGTCTAGTGCTACAGATTCAGGAACACACTCAACCTTTTTACCATATTTTCCAACACAAACATGCATGAGTAAGCACAGGCCAGTTACTAACTGACTCACTAGACCAGAGTCCAATCACGACACGAGACGGGAGTTGCTATAAAATATTTAATGATTCTGCAGAGGGCGGTACTGATGCCCCACGTGAAGCGCTCTGCTCTGAGGAGAGTTGATTTGGCATGATGTGGAGGAGCCGTGGATACAGGTTCTCTACCCTACCCTGATTCTGCCGTATAGTAACACAGGAGTCGGTTTATTAAGACACTTGAACCTGAACTTGTGACATTAATCGTGTATTAGTCGGCTCCCCGAGCCGTTTTTTTTCTTTTCACGTCATTGATCATACGCTATACAGGACCTGGCAAATAATTCTTATTTCAACCACAAAATTCTTAAAGACTTTCCTTTTTTTTATCCTGAGCCAAGTTAAGACAAAACAAGAAGTATCACCACGTTAGACCTACGGAAACCTTAGAATTAATCCTAGCATTGGTACTGCCCTGGATGCTGCCAATCAGTGTGGTTGCTAGGCAACCTGGTCACGTGTCAAAATGCCCCCCTTAAAGGACTGTTCATTGTGCACATGCATTGTGCAAGGGAAACTAGATTCCTACAAAGCTATATTTTTTTCTAGCATTTCAAGCAATTTTCCCCTAAATAATGATCAGTCCCCTTATCATCCAGGCACAGTACATGTTGACTCCACCCCCCAGACTGCATCTATAATGATCAATCCCCGATTTCTGGGTGAGGTGTAGTTACTGTAAGATTAACCTTCCATGGGAAAGTTAACATGTAATTACTAACAAATTAACCAATCTTCACACATACACTAATTTCCGTCATCCTACACTGGCGGAGTGAGACACTGGGAGTATGTGGACACACCTGCCGTATTGTTTGGTTTGCTGGGAAACTGGTGGCTAGAAGTTCATGTTTCCAAGCAGTCTGAGGCTACAAGCTGGATCTGTGATAACAAGTTTACAGTAAGACATCAGAAAGCAAGCCTCGAGGATTACATCTGTTACAAGCAGCAGGTTGACCCAAGCTCCACAGTTATTTCTTTTCTTAAAAAAAATTAAGACTAGTTTTAAGATTAAAGGATAAAGGCCAACCAAGGCCAAACCAACTGCATTTTACGAATGACATCCCCTGGACACCCGAAACCCGAAGAAAACTGGAAAAAATTCTAAATTTTAAGAAGACGAGTTTTGAGATACAAGCAAACATGAACACGCACACAGGGATGTCATCCGTGACATGGAATTCATTTGGCCTTTCGAAATTCTTCTTTTCTCACAAATTAACAAAATTCAGTCAGAAGAGAAATGAAAAAAGTTGTAACCCGCCATTAACAAGTATTAAATGTGTTCAATCCTACAGAAATAGAGGAGAATAGAGATGCAGTTTGGCTGAAGCTGCTAGGTGGCGCTAGTGTGCAGCAGCCAAAAAAACAAGCACCTCACATGAAGCTTTGTAACAAAGAAAAAAACTAAAATAATACATCATAATATTGCAATTTGTCTCCTCTTTAGAATGACCAATACAAAACATGAGAGCCCTGGAGTAAGTTAAAGCTTTCGCCGTCCACAGTAATGTCTAAGGCATTAACTAACTAGTAAATACGCTTCATGGATAAGAAATGCAAAAACACCTGGGTAAATTCATCAAAGGAAAACCACTATCTCCTCTTCTGGAGTAGTCCAAAACTGCACATTGTGTTACACATACTTATTCTGTGCATTTCAAAATTTCTACCAAAGTAGCTGAAAACCCTACATCTTTCCCCCAGCATACTCTATCGTTCCTTCTATCTCTGCTCGTGTGTTCCCGCGGTTTGGCCATGCTGTCAGCTGTCTAATGTCAAATCTACAGGAGAAAGAGTTCATTTGTACTGATTTCAGTCCGCCACAGATGGAAATGCAAGCGTGGTCACGTGCGCGTGAAGAGGAAACCCACACACGTTTCCGCCATTTGCATCGCTAGGGCGGTTGCTATGGTAACCCGTGCTATACGAGAGGCGGGCACGAGTCACTCGCTACAAGCTGGGGAAACAACTAATCTGGTTTCTTGCTGAGAGGTACAGGTATAGGTCTTCACTCTGCAACGGTGCTCGCCGCCAGCTTTTGTCTCTTCGTTTCTTCACTGTCCTCGGCCACGCCGTCGTGCGCTCGTTTACTCGGGATGGCGGAGATGTTGGCAGCTGACGTGGCCAGTAGCGAGAGGGGCGACGTGCCTTCAGAAGAAAACAGAGAAAGGAAATATCTCTAAATATCAGCATGAAATTTCACCTCAGTTGGTAAATAAATTTTAAGAAACTAAAACTGTTCTCCAACTCAAAGATTTCAGACTTGTCAGAGAACAGTTTAAGTTTCTCAAAATCCAAATGGTTGGTTGTTTGGTTTGCTATAAAACATTTCCTCCAATTGATCATAATAAATACACGTGTACAGAGATCAAAATAAGTGTATCCATTTAGCATGCTTAAGATTACTTTTCCACTCATTAGGACAGAACATGGTGATGGTACACTGAGGCTTTTCAACTTATTTTTTCCTTGGGACCAAGCCGAGCAGTCTGCCCCCCACCAAAGTTAGGAATAAGGCCCATAGTTAATAAAGTGAGCCTAGCATTAAAAAATGACTGTGAATTGAGGAAATGACTTGCGTGTCCTGTGGAGGAAATCTGACCTACCCCAGGGCTGCATACCTGTGGGTGGCGCGGCGGGGCCGGTGTGCTGGACGGCGTTGGCTGCCTCCCCCTGGCCGCTGGGCAGGTGGTATGCCGCGGGGCCGAGCTTGCCCGGACCTGTAAGAGCCCAGCGATAGTTTGGATACCTTGCGCCTGGTGGTGAAAGGAGACAATTCAGACACAACAGGAGAGGAAACAACACAGGAGAACTCAAACATAAGCAGGGGGAGAGATGCATCTGTGGTCATAGAAGTCAAATAAAAACTTGTCAAGAGTCATACAACAACAGTCTCAAGTTGTTAGACATCAGACCAGAGAATTAAAAAAAACGGGAAAAGAAAACCAGAACAAGGGCCTAAGCTGCATGTGATTTTGTGAATCTGAATGAAGCAGCTGTTAAAACAAACATGAAAATAAAGGTAAATATGTGGCAAGTCCTGTTGAAAAGCAGGTGGCTCCTAGATGTATGTTTGTTTGAATCTTTGCCTATTCATGAAAAACTTTTCATTGCTCCAAAATTTTGTTATTAGAAGCCAAAAATGGTCATAAATGTGTCACTGAATAAACGGAAAAAAATGCTATAACAAAATAAACCTGGTAGCAGAAACTGCACCAATGGCTCTTGTGCACCTTTTTGTAACACATTTGTAAGAAACAAAAGAAATGTAGCAGTTACAGGAGAAAGTGTGGCCCAGACTTCAAAAAACAAAAACTGTGACTGTACCTTCTTCATTATCTGGCACGCCATTGGTGGACCCCGCCCTGTCCTGTACTGCGCTCCCATTGGCCGAGGTGGATATGGATGTGGCAGTGTAGGATTTTGGTTGGCTGATGACCGTGGGCATGTGATGCATCGCCACGGGAACTGCTGTGGTCATCGTGGAGGCAGGATGGAGCGCAGTCGCCGTGCCTTGGGCTGGGAGGGTTAAACTTAACCTTTAGAACATTGAAGGCAACTGTTTGGCAAGTACATGTAGTTATTATTGGTTATACGGTTAACCTGGATGAAACCATTAGAACACAAAGGTAGGCCAGCAGCTCTCTCTCTTTTGGTTATGATTTTTGGTTGCTCATTGGTTGCTGAATAGTACACAAATTCTGTTCACAGCATTGATTTAACAAACAGCGAACTCACCTGCCAGCACAGACTGTGCTGCGGACACCAGCTGAGCTGCTGAGGGCAGTGCATGCTGGGAAGCCTGTGTGATGACGGTGGTGGGGTGAGAAGTGGGCTGGATGACTCCGGAGGAAACCGCCTGCGCGATGACCGACCCGTCCTGCGTCATGACCACCTGTTTCAGCTGGTCCGGGATGGTCGGGGCGACCGTGGCCGCGTCCTCGGGGATGGGTGACCCCTCGCGCGACAGGGAGTCGGGGGTGAAAGTCCCGCTGGTGGTGAGATAGTGGGGGGTAGCGTGGTGAGTAGGCGAGGCGGGCGCAGACCTGAGCAGTCGTCACCGGCAACCCAAGAGAAAGAAAGAAAGGGTGGAAAGGATAAGAAAACAAAAGAGGAAAAAAAACAAGAAGAAAACTTAAGGGTGACCCAAAACCAAGGATGGTGGATGTGTGGGTTAATGCTACTTAAGACAGGCCTGAAGGCAACACTAACTCAGTCCCTTGGTTCTTAACTCTAAAATGAAAACCTACAACTGGAAGATTAAGATGAGAACAGAATATTCTGAGGAGTAAGTTTGTACCTAATGGTACATGTGGTGTACACACACCCTTAGTTTGACTCAGCATCCTGTTTGGTAAATATTTACTTTGAAATGAGAATCAAGAAAATGAGTTGTGTGGCCCTGCAAAGGAGTGGACTATGCCTGTTATAATGGTGGAAAAAAAAGCATTTTATTATGCACAAAACAGTCCTGGCCTAATAAGCACCCAGCATATACTGGGAGTCCCAGCATGCATCAGGAATCCCAATGTGCACCAGGAGTCCCAGCATGCACCAGGAATCCCAGTGTAACACAGGCCAATTAGGTTGGGACTGAAACACTGGGATTTTGGATAGTTAAATACTCTTCATTTTGCCAAACATTTTTTGCAAAAAAAGCTCTAAATCAAGAACTTCCAACTAACTTGTTATTGTTGTACATTTGAGTTGAAATGTAAGGATTAGGTTTAACTAGATGATTCAAATTCCCAGAGTCTCCCAACTGAAAGTGAGTGTTCCTGGTACAAGCATCAGTTTGTACATGTTTAAAGCACACCGACTTCTGCACCTTTCTAAGTCCTCCTATTTCTGTTATTCTCAACTACCAGAAGAATTTACCTCTCTTGTCCTTCCATGCTTTTCCTGCAAGTAAGATAGTCAAAGTTTCATTTTCATTTCATCAAAGATATCTCCAGTCCTCCATACTTTCTTTAAAGTTCAGAAAAGAAAATGCATTAAAAAAGCAATTGGTAATGCTAGAAACAAGACGCTTTTATTTTAGTCAGTCAAGAATACTTCTAAACTTTTCTGTTGCAGCCTTTAAAAAATTTGGTCATGCAAAATAAAAAAACTAAAAAAAAAAGGTCTTGGTTAGTATGGAAGTGAAAAGTGAAAAGACCACATGTTACATCAAGGAGAAAGATGGTCAAAAGAAACAAATGAGAGTCTTCAAGACTACTGTGTTGTAGAATGTAGCAGTGTGTATATTGGCATTTTTGGACAAGGCCACACCAATTTGATTTGTTGGTTAAGCTACTGATTTTCGGTTCACACAGTTTTATGGGGATACTAGTTTCAAGTTTTCCTCCCAACACTAGGTCTGGTATCATCTTTACCTCTTTCAAAATTCCAAAATCATACAAATTGGTGTGACCTCAAATACATCAAGATACATTAAATAATATGAAGTAATCAAACAACTGGAAAATTTAAGAGGCAGACATTTCAGATAGCAGCCAAGATAAACTGATGAAAGATGGAGGCTGCTATCTGAAATGTCTGATTCTTTAGAGAATTTTTTAAGTTTATTTATTTTGTATTACATTATAATATACATGTTCTCCCTTGGTGTCAAACCATCATTGGCATATAAAGATCAGGGCTAAGAAATACCCTGTGCGTGTGCACCATTAGAAGTTTTGAAGTTCCTTCATTGTTCCCATGTAGCATTTGGGGCTTTCATGGGATGCAGGCCTGCTTGTTTTTTCATCCTGTCGCTTCATAGTTTTTTCTGAAAAAATCTGAGAGCCGACAAAATTTAAATTGGTACGGCCTTAATGAAGAAATAAGAAGTGAGCGGAGCGTGTCAGACCTTGAGGAGAGCCCTCCGCCAAAGGGAGTTCTGAAGCAGGGCACGCCGCGCTGCCGACGGCGTCTCCAGGCCTGCTCCGTCAGCTTGGCCTCGCACGACGGGTCTATTCTCCAGAACGAACCCTTCCCAGGCTCCTCCTGCGAGCGCGGCACTTTGATAAAGTAGCGGTTCAGTGACAAGTTGTGTCGAATTGAATTCTGGAACAACAAAAAAAAATTAAGCCAACTCAGACACAGTTCTATAGTTCTAAGAACAAGACAGTTCATAAGTTCTATAAGACACAGTTCTGTAGTTCTAGAAAACACAGTTCTGTAGTTCTAGAAGACAAAGTTCTTCAGTTCTAGAAGACAATGTTTTTCACTTCTGGAAGACACAGTTCTGTACTTCTTGCAGACACAGTTCTGTATTTCACATTAATTTCGGCTATTCTACATTACCTGCCAGCCCTTGTCTGCTGTTCTGTAGTAGGGGTAGTTCTTAGTTATGTGAGCGTAGATCCCGGAGAGAGTGAGCTGCTTGTCGTTGGCTGACGTGATCGCCTGGACGATCAGCTGAGCGTACGAGTACGGCGGCTTCGAGTTGTCCTGCTGGAGAGGGGAAAAGTTTTGCAGTTTCAGTGCTGCTCTGCAACTAACCTCTTGAAAATTTGTGTCACCACGACCTCAATAAAAAGTTTCAAACAAAATATACCATCATCATTCAAACAACACATTTATATAACATCATCTTCCAATTATGAAATCAACGGCTAGACAAACCCAATGGGAAGACTAGCCAACTGCTGCCCACCCGTGCTAGGGACCCCCGCAGCAGTGGGGGTCTAAGTGGATGTTCAGAGAAAGTTTTTCCGCCTTACCGGGGCACCGCTATCCTCTGACGTGGACTGGCCCTCCTTCTCCTCCATGGCGGCGGCCGCGTACTCCGCAGCTCGCTGTAACGCCTGCGCCACACTGGCCTTGTGGGAACTCGTCCGGCTGCGAGGGCTCGACGGTGCAGAGTTCGCAGCACTGCGGAAACAACAGGAAATGCAAGGTCAGCTGGGTTCACAAGATTTCATCAACCACTATGCCCTGAAGTTGCTTGATGTTAGCAGGGTTTCTGGAAATCTGCCAGTCATGGAAACCTTGGATGTTCGCAGGCATTCCTGCTGAAAAGCAGCCTGCAAATCTGCAACAGAAGCCATGCGCACATACATCATATTTGCTCATTGTCAGAATGTCTGTAGCAAGGGTTTGAGTATGACACGATTAATATATTGTTGACAAGGTTCAACAACAACCATCATGATATTTTTGCTGAATGTATTTTGTACAGCACATCTATGAAGCATGTTCCGGCCTTGCTGAAATATGATGTTACATGTAAGTTACGGTAATGTAACTTAACAGTGTAACCCAGGTGTCAAAAGGGAAACTTTCAGCCCACTGGATACAAACATGCTTCCCTGCAGCTGCACAATTAAATTTGCTGAAGCGGCACACAAAAAAAACATGGAAGAGAGAAAGACAAGATACGGGGAAGGTCTTGAGTGTGACAACACTGAGTGTAAGAGAAGTGTCGTAGGCTGGGAGAATGATGTTTACGTGACGAAATTGTTGTTTACAACTTGGGCTGTTGTTTACACAAATATTTCTTCACTGTTTCAACTTCAAAGATGTTGGACAATGGTAAAACAACATGATGTTCTTCTCTTTTCCTTGGCTATGCTCTACCAGACTGACCAGTCCTTGGGGGGCCCGCCCTGAGGTGGCCCGCTACGATGGGCCACGCTCCAGCTGCAGTGCCCACCCTGGGGGCTAGAGGGCGCCGAGTTCATGGCACTGGAAGGGAGAATAACACATCAGGCCACACAAACTTATCCTGGTGGAAACCATCCTTGACAGACCTGAAATCTGATGCCAGTGAAAACACGAAGGAATCAAGTCCATTTCCAATAATGATTCAGGACCTTGACAAGAAAGCAGTTACTCAAGAAACTGGAGTAGTTTTTAAAATCAGCAACAGATTTAGGACCTTTTCCCCTACTTTTGACAGTTTCATCACAGCTAGTACACGTTCCATAGAATGGATTTTGTGTGGCCCGGCCTCCATGCGAACCCAAAAAGGGAGATAAAGTAAACTTACAACCAACAGGTATGAACAGAAATCATAGTGAGAAATGTTTCATCCAAAAAAGTTTCATTGTGTTGTGTTAATAATGAACTATTCCAGGGCTCAAAATACTGGGTGCATATGCTCCTTAGTGCAGGTAAAACTGGTGCTGTGCAGGTATTTCTGATGTCTACCTGCACTGTCCATGTACTACTTGGTGGAATTTTTATTTGCTACAATTAGTCTTAATTACCACCTATACAATAAAAATGATAAAACTGTAATGGCAATGATTTTGGAAAAGTATTCAGCCTGAATGATGATCCATACCACCTAAATTCTCAGTGGTACTTGTAATATTTGTCTGGTGCAGGTACCATAATTTCCAATGTTACCTTCACCAGTGCAAGTATGCAGGAAAAAGTATTTGGAGCCCTGGATAGACTTGACGTGTCTGTTGCTGAAATCGAGGCTGCTGATTGGTTACCTGATGGTTCCCGTGGGTGACGGGAAGGGGCTTCCGAAATCCGTGTTGGGATCAGGAATGTTGATTTTGAGCGGCGCCAGCTCCGGTTTCTTCTTGGGCGGGGAGGGGAGAGGCGGTGGTGGGGGCGGCTGGGGGTTCACCTCGTCCACCATGGACTGGAACACGATCTTTATGTTGGTACTCGGGAACCGGAACACACACCTGGGAGGGAGGGTGGGGGTACAGGTCTGTTATTGACACAACAAGAAGTAGCTTTGTATCGGAGTAGTCAACTACAAATTATATAAATAGAAATACACGCATATGTTATAAAATGAATCTTGCCAAGTTTACTTCACCTTTTTTCACTAAAAATTTTACTTACTCAACATAAAGCTCAGATAATTGAATATGTTATGTCTGTAACATATATTATACTGACTCACTGACTGTATCTACAACAATGACTGTATCTTCCACATTACAATGACACAATGGTCACAGCTTTCTAATGTGTGAAGGGAATATCAATTTTTTACACAGTGTATGGTGGGCCAAAAAACATCTGACTTGACTTAAACTTCTGCATAGTCAGCAGTTCTACCTGTACACCAGCTACAGAAACATCTCAGACATGACCTAAAACTTCTGCAGTCAGCAGTTCTACCTGTACACAATGTACAAGCAAGCTGCGGAAACATTTCAAGTGTTGCCATTTTAGAAACCTGCATTCCTTCCCAGAAGGCACCAGGCTAGTTGGCAGTGGGCCATGGAGGCCCCATGACTGACCTATCTTCCCCCCCCCCCCAACTAGTGTTACTGTATACATCCCTGTACTGCGCAGACAGGAATGTATACATTTAGGTTTGAAACCACAAGCTGAGGTCCCTTGTAAACGTTTCAAAGTCACATGTATCTGATTTATGACGTTTTGATGTGTTATAACTTATACTATTAATATATACACATGTATGTATGGATTTCAAACCAGATGGTTACAGTGTGTGATATGATAATATTGAACATGTCACTTTACATATCAAACTTTACAAGAACATTAATAAGCAACTGAACAAGGTGGAATGTAGATGTGGGCTTTCCAACATGGTACCCTAAACTGAAATCTGAAAATTGACTTTTTGAAATTTAAAGTCGCAAGTGTTATAGACTGTTAAATGAGAAGGGAAATCCCAGTGCAATATTGTTGTTGTACAGGACGGTTTCTGTGCTATGTGTAACTCACAGTCACAGCTGATCAGACTTGTAATTCTTCACTCTGTGTTATCACCAGTCTGGGGGTCTGGCTTTTCTAGACTCTGGACAAGAAACTGGGCTGGAAACTACATCCCAAACTGGCCACACAGGCCCCATCTGGAAATATGTCCCAAACCTGCCTAACTTGGATGTCAGACAAAATTTCTACACAGGCCAGCTCCTCCGCTCTAGCACCAACATGTCTCCTATGAAATCTTACACAGCCCACATGTTACACCCAATTTACACAAAAGACAAAATCACCTCTCACACGTTTGCAATTTTGCACAATACTATTCCCAATTTTCTGTTGCATGGTGACCGTACTATTGTCCACTAGTATATCATTCTTGACATATAGCCTGTAAAATGCCACATGTTGTTCAGACTACTCTCTGCAATCCAGAATCTTTGCTGCAAAAAATTATGGCAAGCCCGGTACTGGTAGATAGAAATTTTTAGTGTAACTTTGTAAGATTTAATTTCACTAACTACATCCCTCCAACTTTTTGTAGAGACAATAAATGGTATGGAGTCATCATGGTGGTTTAAAAAATCAGACATTTAGGGATAAAAAAATTGTGGTAATTTATCCAGAACTGAAACATTACCCCAAAAAAATGTTTTCCCCTATAGAAAGATTAAGCAATTCTAATTCATTTTGTTACAATAGCTGAACATAACCATTTAAATCAACATAACAGCTGTTATATAAAAACTGTATGAGCAACTGTATGAGCAGTATCCGCCCCCCTCCCCCTTGTTTTGGACCTCTGAAATGTTTTCAAAATTCTTGTGTTTGGCAACTTGTGGACTTTGCTCTCCTGAAAAACTGCCAAAACCAACGTAATTCTCTTGGTTACCGCAGCTAAAACAGTCAGAAAACACAAGAAATACCCAAAGAAAAAATTGGAAACGTAAGAAAACGTGAAAATGACGTGTTTTTGAGTTTTGTTTGTGTGCTGTTTACCCCGAGCCTCGCCCCTATACACCACCATTGTTTTGTTTACACCAAGCCGAACCTGCGACCCCAGTCCATAATACACATCCAAAATACACCACAATGGGCTCAAAAATCACACCAAAACCTAAACAATTGGGACAAATTCTGTAAGAATTCTGTGCAGGTATGTCTGGCGGATGGCAACGAATGGAAATTCGGGATTTTTTAAACCCACATCTCGATTTGTTTACATTGTGAGTTTTGTGTTCTGATACGCAGGCACATGGCCGCACTAACACTGAGGTAGTCTAAACATAGACTAAAAAAGCCACAACTGCTGCAAGCTGGAGTAAAACCGGCATTTTTGGAGCTAAAGGAGGCTGGAGAGAATGGGGGAGGGGCCGGCAGCCGTCCAGGCCAGACGACCTGCGGGAAAAAAATCGAAGTTATTTATAAAATAATGGCCGGACTGACGGGGCTGGTCTGGGGCGACCGCGTGGTCTGTTTGACAACATTACCTCCCAGTCTACAGCTATTTACATAAACAAACTGCGCCAAAAACACGCAGTTTTCACGAAAAACGACGGGATAAGATCCCATTGACGTCTGGGGAAAGAGGCAGGAAGCTTTAGTGACCTAATTTTGGGTCTGTCCGAGCAGATTTGTGGGAATTTTGGCGCGGCGTGGCCGTGTGAAAAGAGTTTTTCACCCCGACATTTCGCAACCACAACACGGACTCACTGTTTGGGTAGCTGTAAGGGCGAAGCTCCTCTCCGCTGGAACACACCGTCCACAAACACGCCATTCTTCCCCAGACAGCTCATGTAGAAGTTGGGCGGCTCGTAGAAGATCTCGATGTGTTTTCTGGAGATGAAAGAAGAGTGTCCCATGTTGACATCTACGGCTCCCTGGCTCGAGTTCCTGCCCACAGTGATCCTGCTTTGCCGCATCAGATACTCGAACTCCCGGCCCTCGATGCGGGCGATCGCCGTCCCCCTCGGCTCCTCGGGGTTCCAGGCGACTCTGGCGGGGCTGGCCGGCGCCGATTTGAGCGCTAGAAGCGCCCATGCGTCGTTGTCTGAAGGCTGTTTGAGGCCAGACATTGTCCACCGCTCCGCCTTCCTTCAGCAGCCCGCAGAAATGGCCGACCCTGCAAAACAAACCTCACCTCATTCCCGGCTGCACCCTTCCCGACATGCAGCAGAAAGTAGTATAGGGAGAGCTGTAGGTATGATACCTCACGGAGGAAACAAACGGTTAGCAGAATCAAAACATTTCCGTCATTGACAACTCTACCTGATATATTCCCAAAGATATGCAGAGACACAGAAGAACCACTGGAAAACTTTAATATAACAAAGTTAACTTTAAAGTTTCCATTTCAGCCAATGACAAGTGATTTGGGTAGAGCTTGCCCACAAGTCAGTCACCCAACCCTTTTTAATACCCCAACTTTACTCTTCAAGCAGAGCGAGGCTTCGGCTTATTTTTTGACGTGGTTCAGGCGTTTTCATCGGGGTTTGCCTTTTGAACTGGTAATTTTTTTTACGCGAGCCGATTCAAGTGCCTGGAAAATGGATAAGTTACTGCCAGGCCAATTGAAGTTGATACTGTCTTTCAGCCACGGCCACCGAAATATCTGCTTGGAGATTTACTAGCTGTCCTTTTTATGTGCATTCACCCATGCATAATATAATAATAATAATTTTTAAAACTATGCCGGACCGCGTTAACCCAAGGAGCCTTGATTAACCCAGGGAGCTTTACTTTTATTAACCCAACTTTGATAGTCATGGGTTAAACCGTTTTCTCATCCTCTTTGTTTTAATAATACCCATATTCGGGTCCCAGTATAGAAATGTACCTGGAATTATACAAAACGTCTATATGTTTTGCATAATGATCACGATTCTCCTCCAGTTCAAGTTTGTTTGAGTGACATTCCTGCTCACACAGTAGAGGACATTTGAACCCACATGACGTGATATCTGAATGTTTGGGAGTAAAATGTATACTGCGAAACAAGGTAAACCTGCGACGCACACATTCACGTGCAGTACTAAATAAAATCGGTAGATGGTAGTTCTGTACGGGGCAATGGCAATCCAGTTTTGACACCTCAAATAAAAATATTTTTAATTGCATAATAGCAACCACATTGAGGGACCAAGCAAGTTTGAACCTACTTGGAGGGGAAAATCTGCCACTTCATTGAAAAGCATATCTTACTTCTCTAAAAATGAAAACGCCATCTTTAAACATTCCCTTCAACACCTTCCAGGGCCTCCACAGGCCAGCTCCCCAACTGTTTGGGGGCCTACACAGGCTATAGGGATGACTAAAATGTCCCAAGGGAAACTTTACCTGAGGAATACTTTCATACTACAACAGTACAAGAAGAAGAGGAAAAACACAAGAACAAGGAATCAACAGACTTTCAATATACTTTAATCATAGTAGGATATTATTTAAAGGTGTTGGCTGCCTGCAATGCTGTACAAAAGCTACAGAACACTAAGTTCCTGTTACATGAGCTACATTGCCACATTCCACCTTTTATCACTGCCATCATGTCACAATCTCATTCCAGCTGACAGCATGGAAGCAGTACAAACATTTTTTGACTACTTGTATACACATGTGAGAAACTGCAGATATCACGTCAGGTGACACACTGGAATAAGTTTTGTAGTGAAACAGTCAACAATGCTTCTTTTTGCAGCAGTTGACTTGTAACTCCACATGTAGCTACAATTGACATGTAACTCCAAGGAGATTTAATACAAGAATTGTATTTAACCTCCTTGGTAACTCCAAGTCCAAGAGTCTCCAAGGTTTGCTACAGTTAATCTTTTTCTGAAACATCTTTGTACATTAGGTACAAACAGCACAGTAACTCGTTTAATAGAACAGGACATTTGTGCATGACTGCTTTTATATAAAAGTTTTTGTCCACAGACATACAAAGTCACAACATACAGCTGTGCTGCAGAGAACTTCTAATTTGGAGGTTATCTCCCCTTTTCTGATATATTCCATGATGCATCCTGACAGAAAACGAAGTATTTTTTATTCTTTATTTCAATGGCAAAACTTGGCTACAGAAACATTTAACTTCTACTGGTAACACACATGGTTATCCTCATCCTGTTAGTTTTTCCCAATCAGGCAGCGTCTAGCTCACTGCTGTGAGGAAGCAACATTAAAGTGGTCAAAAAAGATCCCTTTTAGTAATACTTCTCAGTATCAAACATATCATGTTTGCAAGAGTTCCGCAAAAGCTAATCCTATCTAGACTTGCATTAGCGAAGACAGCTAAAAGGTTTTACACCATTTGAAAGATGTCTTTGAACTTAGAGTTTCCTCAAGTTTCAAGTAATCTTATCAAACTTCTTGCTCGTTTTGCTCTTTCTTTCATGGTTCTTAGAAGACCATAACCAGATTTTGATCAAGTCACTCATGAAGGTTTCAACCTCATAAGGTTATTAGAGGTTATTCGTTGGATATGTTTTATGTAGCCATGTTTTCTTACATTGACTCAGAAGCAGTAAACTGGATGCAGACTGCAAAATACCATTTATAAAGTTATAGATAGAAATGTCATCAATTCTGCACCTGGTAATCTGATTGTATACCATTATATCAAGGATAGATCACATCATGAGACATTGGAACATCAACAGTTTGCCACAAGGTTTCAGAGCAATGCGAACAGTTGCAACACATGTTGGCACAAGACAAGTAGCTTATCAAAATAGCTACAAATGTGGGAATCTTTTTTTTTTCTTTTTCATCGTAAGACCACACCGATTTCATTTCTTCATTCTGCAAATTGGAAAAATGATAACTGGAAAATGAACATAGAAACAGTCTGTTTCATTCTGTTTTCTTGTTTTATAGTGTATGCCTGAGAACTGAAGAAAGAAACTGGTGTGGCTGTATCATGGTTTTATTTGGCACAAGCAGAGAGAAGTCAATAGTTTCTTATATGTTGTGAACTTCCTGGTAGTTTATGGTTTATTCACAAACAGACAGGAACATCCCAACAAGTACAACAGTCATTAGCCATTGGCCCAGATTGGTACCAAAACATCATTCAACATCCAAACCACTGTTGTGTCAGGAACTGACCACAGATCTCAGTAATGCTGTCTAAAACATCAAAAGGGATACAGTAGAATCACAGGGAGCAGCTCTATGTTTTGATAACATTACTTTTGGATGGGTTTAGGCCATAGGATTAGGTCAGGGTTGATGAAACATAGGGACAGCCCTATGTTCTTCCATAGGATTGCGAAAACATAGGGACACCCCTATGTTCCGCCATAGGAAGAAATCAGTGTTGCTGAAACATTGGGGTGTAGTGAAATGCATGCTGGTCACACCTTTTCCACAGATGGAGAGGGACACATCAAAACTATCTCACACTTTCACTATGTCTTGTACTTTCGCTCTTTCCTTCTGTCTTCTTTAGCCACATCTAAGACGATTTTACTTTCATCTCGCCTTTTAAGATTTATTCCTCCTGTAATCGTTCTTAAGCTACTTTAGTACCATTTTGTACCCTTCAACTCATCAGAGCGAAGGCAGCCTTTTCCTTTCCCCACTCCATCCTTTCAAGACTTGGTCTACTCCCCCTTCAGCTTCAAAAGTGGATCAGCCCAAGGACAATGCCACCTAGTGGCACAATATTGAACTGCAACAAGACCCAGGCTTTTTAGGAAATAACACAGCTGGACCATCATTCAGATCAATTTTTTAAAGAAAATTTCTTTGAGTTGGAGAACAGTTTAATTCTTCACTATGTAAATTACCAAATCAGATGAATTTTCATGCTCAAATGGAATCTGAAGTCAGTCACTGTAAAGAAGTTGAGAAAACAATTTCATAATTCATAAGTGCAGAGCTTTTGTTTATTGATTTAGCAGGTGAAAACTGAATACATAGCAAACAGTTAATATTCCAGCTGTTTGATAAATACTTTGTGACATTTAATGACGAGAAGTATACAAAAATCTTCTGGCACAAATACGAATAACTTGATTCCTTAAGCTCTAGGAAGAAGCATTTTTGAGAAGTTTTCCCATTTTTAATGAACATGTTCATAACCTACAGGTCGATATACCTGTAACTTACACTTCTTGGCCACTTTGTCAACAAGTTAATAATTCAACTGTGAATGTGATAATATATTAACCTTATTCGAGTATAAGTAGTAATAACTTTAAGGTGTATTATTTTCTCTATAACTACTGTATAGGAAAGAGTGGATTACTGTAACTCTTGTTATTAATTCTATGCTAAGAGAAATACTGCATCATGCTGAATTATAGAAGTGCTACTCAGTATAGCCAGTCCTCGGACCATCTTCAACTCCTGCTGATCAGTGTCGGGATTCTCCCCACCGCCCTAGCACAGCAAGAGGAGGGACTGCAACATTCTGCAGTGCTAGTGACCAGGTTTCCTTGATCAGAGGTTGGATTCTCCCATCTCGTGATATGGCGGAGTCGGGCCGGCGAACTCGGAGTGCATCTCGAGCCGCTCGCGCCGGAAGTTCTCGTAGTGGATGGAGTCTGTCACGTCCTTCAGGTCCTGCATGTGGGTTCTGGGGTGGAAGGGGGGAAACCAGTGTACATCAGGTCTGGGCCGCTATAACGTACATGTACATCAGGCGATCCATGTGTAAATGTTACAGGATGACCACCCTCTACATGACCTTGTTCCCCTCCAGATCTGCAGCTACAGAGTTTACAAACACACCATTTCCATCCTCCCAGACTTAAGAACTCTTTTCTTTACAAATCCATCAAACTGTACAACCAGACAACAGATGTTAACTACATGTAATCAATTGTATGTCGTTAACTAACCAACTAATTAAGTAATTCAGCCTCACCTGATCAGCATGTCTCTCAGAAGGGCAAACTCACAGTGATTCTTGTTCTCAACTGTAGACGAAAACAACAAAACAGATAAACAATGGGCCAGATATGTATGTAGTTCTCGCAAAGAACATATTACCAGGAAGAAAAAGTAACTATTTTCAAGTTGATATTTCCATGAATCTTTGTCCATTTTATTCTTTGATGATTGCTAAAAATGGAAACAAAACTAAGCCTTTATCGCTCTCATGCACAAATCAGCAAATTTTGATATAAAAAATGCAGGTCTTGTAGATCTGAGAAAGCCTCACCTTCGATCAGGCCCCACTTGGTCTTGCGGCCGAGAACAGACTTGCCATTAACCTGGTACTCACGGTCACTCCCAACAATCGCAAACGGCATCTTCTCCTGCAGGGGGAAAAAAATAACGATTGTCAAACAAAACAAAACAAAACACATTAGATCTAAACTTACCTTTAATGTCATGGGTGAATCTGGAACCAAATCTGATGACAAGAATGTCCTAAATGTTGTTGTCAATTGTTATTACAGTCTCTTTACCCCAAACCCTGATGTACATTGTAATTACCCTTAGTGCCTGATTGATGGCGGTCTCTTCTTCGTCCTCATCCAGTGACTTCATGGGGTAAAACTGGATCCCGTGGAACTCTAGATCCTCACGAACCTACAGAACCAAACAACAAACTCTGTTCTTTTACTGTTTCAGACATGAAACTGGTAAGCCAATGAGTTCTTTAAATTCTCTCAATCAAAAGCAAAATACTTGGGTTACTTTATTTGTAAGATGTGTTAGAAGATTCCTTATCCTTTTCCTGAAGGCCTATATTTTTCTTTATTTTTCTTTATTTATAAGATTTGTTAGAGAACTCCTTACCCTTTTCTTGAAGGCGTATCTCTCCTCCAGTGTGAGTGTGTCTGCCTTAGCAATGATTGGCACGATGTTCACCACCTTGTCCAGTCTCTTCATGAACTCCAGGTCCAGTGGCCGGCAGCTGGACAATAAAAAACATTGTATTTGTTTACTTATTTCAATTATGGTATCCTCAGATTTTGTTTTGTTTTCTTGCCAAACTGATGTCTAGTTTCTTCATCAACCTAATTCTAGTCTTTTTTCCATATTTTGTACGCAGATATGTCAAGATGCCGAGGTAACCATAACATCATTTCATATTTGACAACAGAATTTCTGGTGGAGGCAGAGTATTAAACTGCAACAAGACCCAGGATTTTCAGGAAAAGAAACACAACTGGGTCATCATTAATTGCTTCAGATCCTATAGTGGAGGGACAAGATAGTTACAAATGTGTGCATGTGTGTCTACAGCAGTACTTACGAATGTCCTGTAGGTGAGATGAAGTACAGACAAACGTGAACACGCGTGTCGGGGATGTGTTTCTTGCGGCTCACGTTCACCTCTTCACTCAGGTACTTTTCGTACTGGTCGTTGATGAATTCCAGGATTGGAAGCCAGCTGAAAAAATTGGACAGGATCAAGCCATGGCAGTAACCACAGGTCAGGCCTCAAGTATTTATTTCCTTGGTTTTCAGACTTATCTAAGTAAAACTTCATCAGAGGCCTGGGGTAACTGCAGCTATTGGTAACTGTATTCACTCCCTGAAACTGTGTGTACGTAATTACAGACCTCCCCTAAGGCTGTTTTAATGTTCTGAAAATCAGTATAGTGAATAATTATTGGACATGCCTTAATTTTAAATTACAAACTTGAATTTCTAATGTGTTTATACAAATTTTTTATCAACATGCAACATAATTGATCACGATAAACTTGACATTAATTGCATGAAGTTGCAAAGCAGGAATATAAAGCATGTTTCCAAACATCTTAAGTTTTGTTTGTTGAAACAGAACATCCTGGGGAGAGATGTCTGCAGCTGCATGTGGCTGATAGATTGATTGATTGGTTGAATGATTGGTTGAATGATTGATTGATTGATTGATTGATTGATTGATTGATTGATTGATTGATTGATTGATTGATTGATTGATTGATTGATTGATTGATTGATTGATTGATTCCAAAGAAGGCTGTCAGAACACTCACCAGTTTTCATTGTTGATCTGGTCCCCGAACCCCGGGGTGTCTGTCACAGTCAGCTTTAACCGCACACCTTTCTCCTCAATAACTGCACACAGAATAAAGAACTTATCATTATCTATATCAGAAAGCAGGACTTCTGTCACGTTATCTATATTGAGATGCAATGAAGAAGTCTGAAGATGTATAGTATACAATACGGCTTCAGCGAAGATAGGGAATAATTGTCTACGTCAAGACTTATAAAATAAGATAAGATTTTTATGAAACACCTTCAACCTTGATACAATATGACTGCCCAGTTGAGGCCCACAGTTTTGGGGAAGGTGCCCTCTGACTTCACTGCTACATGTGTACGTGTGCCCAGTTGAGGCCTGTTTGTGATGTACTCACCGTGTGATACTGACTTGATCTGCACAGTTTTGGGGAAGGTGCCCTCTGACTTCACTACTACATGTGTACATGTGCCCAGTTGAGGCCTGTTTGTGATGTACTCACCGTGTGATACTGACTTGATCTGCACAGTTTTGGGGATGGTGCCCTCAGACTCGTTGGTGCAGGACCGTCTGCTGATCTGTGCCTTAAACAGGGTGTTCACCAGAGTAGACTTCCCCAAACCACTGCCACCTGATAACAGAAACATCACACCCATGTGGCTACTTGTCATCTTATATTAACTTCTTCCTTCTTCCAATAGTCCTTAGTTACACACTTGAACAATCATTTAAATACATGTGTAGGCAGTTAACATAATGACCGGAGTTCACATAATACTTCAAAACTCACTATAATGATATTCTAATAACTTGAACAATAAAATGCAACTACCAACACAGATGAACTTTCATGATTATAATAATAATATTCTAATCAAAACAGATCTGAGGCATTATATTGTAATGCACAAAATCTTGTTGGTTCTACCACTAAGTACACTGTACATGTACCAGACATACAAAATATAAACAGACCGTTACAACTCTTATAGTTAGACGGAGGGTCTGGGTCAGGGTTGCATGACTTTGCTATATATAGACTATAAGTATCAACTAGATTTGTTTTATTGAGCAGCTTATAGTATCATTTATATCTATAGCCGTCAGACATTTCGTCATGTGAGTTGGAGGGTAATTGCTCCACCAGACGTCCTAAGTGGATTTCAGAGAGACAGGAAAGAGAGTTTGGATTGGCGGCTGGGGACAAGGAACATTAGAATTGGTGTGTCCTGAAATTAAGGCAGGATGTAATCCTGTTCAGACGTCGGTTGTGTGAAAAAAAAGTTCTTAGTGGTCGATAATTTCCGGCTACTGAACAGGAAGAAACTGTTTTACTTAAGAACACCCCAGGGGACTGGCTTTCTAAGATGTTATGAGGAGCTATTACTGAATAACGTGTGGACCTAAAATAATAACTTCAAACAGGGTTGTGCCATTCCTCCTTCATGAAAGTCAAACATTCCACTAGTAATGACAATAAACTTTATTGCATATTCATGCCCTACATGGGCCAAATGCACTAAGTTACCAGTAGATAATAGTTACTGAAGTATAAGGGTAGGACCAAGTATTACTAGCACTAGTATACTATATTACATGTATGCTATATTTAAGCCTGTCCTCTTAACTAACATTATTACAATGCATGTGGAGAAGAGAGAAATTAGATACATCAAGGAAAAAACATTCAATCTGCAGGCATTGGAAACATTAAAAATATCATTTGGAAAACCTCTAGAACTGGGCAATCTAGAACCTTGATGACAACTGTTTTTTCTCAAGTTCCTCGTTCTTACTTACATACTTTACTTCTTTAGTACTTCTAGGTTAATCTGGATTATTGAGACTGTTATCTGGGTCATCTAAATTATGTGTGGTTCAAGCAAAATAAACAAATGTAGAGAAGAAGACAACCCACCGACAACCATGATGTGGAACTCGAAGCCTCGTTTCAGCGCCTTTTTTCTCATCTGTTCCTGGAGAGTGTCGATGCCGACATACCCACTCAGGGTGGTGGTCAGCTTACCCCACTGGGTCGTTGTCTGGAGGGTTTCTGACATGACTTCCACAAAATCAGCAAAATATAGAACACCTACAGGAAAATAGATACAACAACCAAACAACATTGATTTTCACAAAGTCAGCAAAATATAGAATATTTGCATTTATATTATCATAATATGCCGTAGTTAATTATGATAGTAAAGTAAAGTTAACAAAGTACAGTAAAAAGTTCTGAGAACCCTGGTACTTACTATCAAGTAAACATAGAGCTAGTCCGAAATTACTTCAAATTAGATTTAGAAGACTACGGGAAGAGTCACCTTTTTTTGCCTTGCTTTCTGCTCGGAGTCGGATGGCGTCCTTCTCACTCGGCGCTAGACTAGAACCTAGGACGTCCTGCACGAGCTTTGGCACAATCTGCACATCGATGGAGCCGCGCTTCTGAACGTCTGCTGTTTCAAACGCTGCACACAGGGCTGTGGAGAGAGATGAACACACACATCAACATGTGCTGTTTCAAATGCTGCACACAGGGCTATGGGGAGAGAGTCAGACGAACACATACATCAACATGTGCTGTTTCAAACGCTGCATACAGGGCTGTTGGGAGAGACGAACACATACATCAACATGTGCTGTTTCAAATGCTGCACACGGTACTTTGGGGGGAGACGAACACACATGAATGTCTGCTGTTTCAAATGCGGCACACAGGGCTGTGGGGAGGGGGGAGATTTCTCTTCCATCATTGGATAGGTGTTTCTGATGGAAATATGTTTGTGCATGTCTAAGACTAGGACAGTGTAGCTTCTGGGCTACCACAGTGGTTGGAGTGACTGAGGGGAGCTGACACTCGACATAAATCAGGGTCAGGTTAGTTTACATCAAGCTAATAACTTTGTAACCATTCTACAACTAATAGCAGTCTTGCTTAGAAAAACAAACAAAATTTAATAAACAACATCAATTTTCAGTTTTAAGTCCTATGTCTGAACCAGAAGTGGTAGAACCAGCAACCTTTACACAAGTCTGTATGTTAAAAACAGATTTATCATCATAATTTATTTGAACTCCCACCCTTTTGGTTAAGAGGTAGGGATAATGCATGCAAGTACTAGTTTTATAGTGTCCCTCCAGGGTACTGTAACTCCAGTGATCAATGTTTATCCCCTGCAGGCTGAACCGGGAGCTGGTATGTTTGGCCCTGGTTCAGCTGGTGTACATCACTCTGATCTTTGTTTCCACTTGGCAGAAAACAAGCACTGCCGCAAAGTGGAACATAACTCCACTCAGATGCAATCATTCGGCAACCGCGTGTAGTAATTGCGTATCATGTTTTAGAAACAGTAACTGTTCCTTAAGGCCAGAACAACTTAATTTGTTGGTTCAATTAAATATGAAGCATTAGGGCAAAGAAAAAAACACAGGCCTAGGCATCCTGTTAATATATACCCGGTGCAATAGCTCCAAATACAACAATAAAAGCCACGAAGTCAATATATATCAGAGCATAATCAGGCTGCTTTATAATTTCAAAAAAAAGAATTACGAACTGCATTGATGGATGGAAAATACGCAGTCACATCAAACCAAATTGAGATGACAGAAAAGAAAAGTCAAACTGGCTAGAAGTAGAACACTGGGACAGGTACTTTGAAGTAATGAGAACCAGTCCAGCCATCCCTACAGCAGTCCCTGCAGCAGGTACATGTACTAATGAGCACCACTTGTGCTAACCAGGCCTGTCTACAGGACTTCCTGACTAGGAACACATGTTCTACTAATCACTCAGGTCATGTTCTTCTCAAGCAACATGGACTTGTTCTCGGTTTTCTACTTAGTAGTGCAACCCCCTACCCCCATTACATGTAATATACTGTTACTGAACTGTAGACACCCCCGTACCCCCGATCACTTATTTGGATACTGAGCAGTAGGCCATCCATCCAAACTTACTATTAGTAACAGTAGCTGGAAAAAAAAAACAGTAGCTGCCCCACCACCCGCCCACCACCTTTCTACTTGAGTGTCAGGAGTCTAAAACACTGTGTACTAACATCATCCCCCCCCCCCACACACACACATCACAACTCACAGTTACAGAACAGAAGACTTTCCCATCTGATCTCATGACCAGGAACCCGCAAACGAGACCGCTCTACGAACTCCACAAACTCCTCCCGCCCCGCCATGTCTCAACCTAGCGTCTTCCAGTTTCAAGCTTCACATTAGAACCCTGCTCCCTACACAAATACACCAGCAGACAATATCAGCACACCAGGCTGATGTTTAGGTTGGAACTCCCTCCCCCCTGCCTGTCTCCTGGACTATGTATCCGTCACTCACACATCACCATGGAGACCTGGCTGTTTCCACAAAGACTGAGGCACTCAGAAGTTCAAGTGCGTCTCGGCGGAGGTTTGCCTGCCCAAAGCTTAAACCCTGCACAAACCTGGGATAGTCAGACTTACACTTGACTCCTGGAGCGATGTGGGGGGATGTTTGTTGGGACAGGACAGGACGTTCCACTTTCCACAAATTCCGACCAAATTCCAGACAGCAGCAAGGCTTGATTACACACTGACTGGCAACAAGGTATGGGTCGTACCACTCAGCAGCTCAGGGGTGATCGCCATGAGCCTGTGCTTCCAAACTGAGGACTAAGAAAATAATGTTGTGTTTCCAGTTTCCTGACTGACTCTAGCCTTTTTTTGGTCGACCACTGGCAAGTCCATAAAATTTTTTGACTGATATCTGAACTTCAATAATTAAACCTTTCAATCGTAATATTTCAAGGATTTTCAGAAGCAAATTTTTGTTTTTTCCAAGACTGAATCCATTAACTGGAAATACAACATTTCGTTCCTAGGCCAGAGTAAACCTCTTCTGATAAAGTAGAACAAGAGAAGGATGTCACTAGGTTACCGTTGTCAGGGAGGCACACACCCTCCCCGGTAACCACCCACACCGCCGCTACGATCTGTCGGACCTCCGAGTCAGCCGCTACATTCTGCTGAACCTCTGGCTCGGTCACTACATCGGACTCCATCATGTCTGCTGACCAACAACATACAAGCCACACACACCCCTACAGGCACAATGGACTCACCCACAGCCCACCCTCATGCATGGGAATATAGATGGTACCACATTCATAATAGGGGTGGCTTTAGAATTAACACATTAAACACATTCAAAACACATCTGGCATCCAGGAAGATGAAAAAGTAAGGCAGTTTGCATTTGGCATTTAAAAATTAATTCAATAGCTGGGAGGAGATGATATTGCTGTGCACAAGAAAATGATTTTACACCCCTGTCCATTAAGTGGAATGATCCAACATCAAAACAGACTACCTGACCTTGGAGCCAACCATTCCCAATGGAGGGGTGTTAATGTAGCACAGTTCCCATTCACACACACCCCGTCTGTCTATTGTTCCTTTAGCTTTTCTCTGTTCTTGCCTCTAGAAAAAGCCCATAGAAATCTGAATCGTACCAACAATAGACGGGGGTGACCCTGAGCCCTCCCAGAGGGGATCCTACTGTGCCAGAATTCTGAAATAGCCTGAGTGGGTTCTCGATGTAATAATAACGCAGATAATTACTCCAAGGGTGACATTTACATCTGGGATTCCAGCAATCCAGGAAAAGTAAGTGATAGTGCTCTCAACAAATTCATAACTTGTTGGTATAAGGCCCACTAATGACTGTGTTTCCAGTAGACTTCTTACTTATGTTGATGGGTCAGCTATCCTGTACATGTAATTTGTATTCAGAGTGCTTTTCATCCCGACATGCTTTTTCAGCTGCACTTTTCATGATGGATGCAAGGGAGCGCTGCTCACCAGCATATGCCAGGCGAAACTACAATCCCAACTCGTTCCCTCTTGATCCAGAGACTCGAAGCACTGGACTATGAACACTTGTATTAAGTGATCCTAACATGTGATCCTAACATGCACATCATGTGCATGTATAGAGTTCATTTTCATGCTGATCCTTGTGTACAGAATCTTCTGTTCTTAAATCTGACATTTCTGAAAATTGATGCATGTGTGGACGTCAACCATGTAATGAAATCAGTATGGCCTATTATATGTAAGACAAAAGTACATAAAGACTAACATCCCCCAGAACAAAGAAGTCCTTTTCAGGACTTAACCATAGGTCACATTTGTTATGGCTTTTAAGCTCCCCCACCCACCAAGAACCACATTCATCATACAGACATGGGGTATAAACTATAGAACAGACTTTCCAAACTAAAATATACAACTATCAAGGCTAGAACAATATACACACAGATCAGCCTTGACTGGGAGTCTGGAGTTACCAGAATGATATCTACACGGATCAGTCTGCTTCTGCCTGACAAGAGACATTTTGTGCACTCAGGAAATACCTGACTAGTGCTGCATACCGGTTCACTGGACTTGAATCCGGACTTGTAAGAATGTTTAGGTTCAAGTCCAAAAAAACCTAAAAGTCAAGAACCGAGTCCGGACTTATTACCATAAAAGACCATTTCACATACCCCTTTTCTTTCCAAACCTTTCTTTCCTTACCTAAAACCTTCCATAGATTGCATAATCTTTGCTGCAAAATGAAGAAAGCATTGCCATCGGGCATCTGCAAGTACCGGCCTCCATGTTATGTGGCCAAAGTTTCACCCGGACAACATTGCAAGGTTGCCAACATGCAATTTTGCATATGTCATGGCTTTAGGTCCGGACTTACAAGTCTGGACCTGAACCTAAACCTCTGGACTTGAATCCGGACCTGAACCTAAATGTTGGTTTAGGTATGCACCACTATACCTGACGTGAGCTTTACTAGATCTCAGGACATGTTCTTATGAACCTCTTTCAATTTTAAAATAAAGACACTATGTCCCAAGTATTGTGAGGGAAAAATTTTGTGAAGTTTTGTCCTTTTAAAGTCTCATTTCAAAGCCAAATGTTAACATTTTCAAAGTTGTCATAGATTCATGAATGGTTCCCCCCCCCCCCAATACATTGGTCGAAAAACAGCGCTAGATTGAAAAACAGCGCTAGCATAGGGGCCTGAATCACAGCATAGAGGTCCAAATCACAGTATATATAGGGAGCCCATATACTACTACAACATTGAGTAGAGTACTGGTATTTGGCTGGAATGCTAATTTGAAAATTGATGCTAATTTTTGCAAGGTAGAAAATTTATTTACCCCAACCACCTGTCTTCTAGCAGGTGTAACCACACACCTGTAATGTACACCTGGCCAGGTGTGTACTACGGCTGTTCTGGGGAGGATCACATGTCTCCCTCCACATGGTGTACACACCCAGACACAATAGCAACAATTTGTAGCCTTTTACACGCACTGTTACACCTCTCCAGCATCTTGCAACATACTAGTAAATTGGAAGGAAACTTTTTGTATAAACAAACTGATTGCATATTAACCTGTAGAAACTAAAACCCCCATTTCAGCAGCAAGAAGAGCTTACTTTCATGCACACTGCATTTGTGATAACAATTCATGAAATTAGGTAACTTGTTTACTTAACTGTTTACTAGTCTAGTAGTACCTAATTGTTTTAAATCATTTTATCCTGTATCCCTCTTCCTCGTCAAACAGAAGTCTGTAAAACAATTACTATGACAGCAGACGTAAGACAAAAATACGAACAGATGGTGCTTATATGAAAAGAGCAGACGACTAATGTTTACGCTGAGTAGATACATAAACTCTAAATGTTTCCTTTTTTCAAATAAAACAAACCTTAGAAAGAAAATTTCACCCACACCCCACCACCATTCGTCATTAGCACACTTCTGACATATCCACATATGAACAGGTCCAACAAAAACACACAGTACAACTGACGCCACGGTACTGTGATGTAGTCTGATGTTGGATCAGAAGATCCTGGGTTTGAATCCTGTTCCTCCCAGTAGTGCCTAACCCCTAAAACTACTGTATACTACTGGAAAAGGTTCCAGATGAGACATCGTAAGCCAGAAGTCTTTCATGTTTAAGAAGATTAACATACAAGCCATTACAAGTAATATTTGTTTTAAAGAACCCACAACACCTATCAATGTATGTACACTGGCTAGAGCCAGGAGGTAATTGGGATAGACTCAGTAGAGGTCATCTATTCTGAACACAAAGGTTCAAGGTCTGATGCTGATTTCCAGTCAAGGACAATAAAATATGCATCTAAAATATATGATCAGTTACAGCAGGTTTTCTCTGTCAGTTGGGTGGTTGGGATGTCACAGACTTGAATGACATGAACAATATGTTACTGTAGGTCTTAACTGCTTTTGACACTTACAGCAGACTTCTTGCAACACATGTAGAATATTTAAGAGTCAACATCACATAACTGTCACAAGTTAAAAAAACACATTGTTAATGTTATTCTAGATGAGATCCAAATGAAGGCTGTATGAATAAAATCATACTCATGTCTGCCCAGCTCAAGTTTCTGCCCTCTGGGCCCTTAAGACTTTGTAAATCTAAGGAGACTTGAAGGATATATGCAGTAATAACTCCCGCTGGGAAGACGTCTGGAGGGCTTTGAGAAGCTTGAAGACACACCAACCTCACACCAGTAGAGAAGGAAGTAGTTAATTTCTATGGACTTAGTTATGGCAGCCTACACTGACGAAGGTTAGACATTGTATAATCTGCTGCCTCTGCATGTGGAGTTGCTGTTAATGCTTGATTGTCCAGTAATACATATTATACAGCTAAAGAATATGTATACATGTACAATGATACTGTCGGTATACCTATTTGACTTATTGATTCTTAGACTAAGTAACAATTCAGCAAGAAAACTTGAAACTGACTCTCGGTCTAACAATACTTGTATTCATCCTGAAAGTCTTTTGCGGCAAGATACTGCCTCTCACAGGCTTCAGAATCAGAGGCAGCTGGAAAGCAATACAGTTTACCACGCTGAGTGTTCAGCCTGGTAGAGGTATGTACAACGTGCAGACTTCCATGTCTTTTTATCTTCCAGGTTACCATCACCAAAAAATTAAGCTGATGTTGCCCCACCCAACCAGTTCTCCTGCCCTGATGTCAACATCACACTGACTCCTGAGTCCATCTCACACACCCATCAAAAACCTCCGCTAAGACTAGTGTGTGATGTTACCAGTTAGTTATGACTGAAGGTCTGTCCAGATGTGTGGACTGTCAGTCCAACAATACTGCCATTCAGACTGAGATTAGTAAACACGGAGTTACCTCACTTCATTAGTTCATATGACACTGTAGGTACATGTAATTTCTTTGTACCTGGAGTGATAATTGATTCTTTTGTTTATGAGAATCTTATAACAAATCAATACCACCAAGATCTCTTCAAGCCTACTGATAAAGATGCCATGAGACTCTGTCGTCACGAAAAAATCACTAAGTTGATATTTTCGGATCTTAATTTCGCTGGACTTTAATTGCCCTGAAATAACAGCTGATCTGCCCAAACAAAACAGCGTGAAGCTGTCCGGAGTAACACGACCCCTGCTGGTCACGCCCACGTACTTCAGAACCGCTCATCAAAACACAAACTACGACATGGATTCAGGTTGGGTCTGAAACAAACGGACCTACTCTTCAACCCACCGGCTGGACCAGAGAAAATATAATTATAAGGCGGCACGCGGCAAAATTCACACAGCGAAATATATAACGCCATGCAGATAAACCCCCCTCCCACCACACCTCGCTCATGCATGCATCTAAATCTATACGGGCTGGGCAAAAAATAGGGGACGTTATCTTACCTTCGAACTGCTTTCCGGAGAGAGTGAACCCCTGCAGACGGAAAGACATGGCAAACAGTTCAACACTGACAGCTAGAACCAAACAGAACAAAATAACGGGACAGACAAAAGAGCGAACAAAGCCAGGGCGTGTGGATGATTCTCCAGTCACCCTTCTAAATGGCGAGAACACGATCTACCAAGGGATTAGGTCTCCTGTGAAAGCAAACACCGCTTACCTGTTGGCTTGACATGTCCCGCTTGAGCGGCTAGCGTCGGTCAGCAGCAGCGAGCCGAACCATCTTCAAATCAAACATGACAGACATGACAGACCCACATTCGATCTTTCTCCTCCCTAACCCACAACCCGGAAGTGACGTCAGCACGACCACACAACCCCACCGGCCCTTTTGCTTGGTGATTGGTGCATCGCGTCTAATTTGCATAAACAGAAACTTTATCATGATTTATACAAACTTTTCTTGTATGCTTACATACGGCTACCAGCTGTAGAGAGCTAAGGAAAAACTTCCCACTCCCCACCGATACAGGTGTGATGTTCTCCAAAGATGTATTGCATTGATTGACCCCTTGGTCTTTTTTAAATGCCCAGTGTATGCTGAAAACTTGTACAACAGTTGGTTGGTGGGCAGTATTAAATTACTAATATCACAACCTTTTTAAGCATATCTTAAAGGCAATTTTATTAATGAAACCCAAATGCTTTCTTACATTACTCTAATATTATATAATCTTATCAAATTAAGGCACATGCTGAATTAGCAAATGAGTCAATCTTTATTCAAACCAATATGTCAGTAACAAATGTTGTTGTTGGGTTGATTCTAAAATCTAGAAAGACATTCAAAAGTCAATTGATATGTTTCAAGACGACAAACTGTGACAAACTTCCAGCTTATTGCCTTTAGTATTGCCAATGAAGGCCAAAATTACACTTTTGGTGAAAAAGTCAACTGTCTTCAACTTTCATATGGACCATTCCACATTTTTCTAGTAGGACGCCTGTTTGTGACATTTTGATGTAGATTTTAGGGAAACCTTACCAGGGCGCCATTTTGTTTGTCAATCAGTTTGCCATATATATTGCACGCTATTTCAAAAAAAAGCTTCCTAACAGGGACCTTCTTTTCCCTGTCAATACATTACATATAATTCATTCATGTAGCACACATCAGATACGAATGACACAGAATTGAAGCTTAAGCAATATTTTACAAGTAGTTATATTTTCTAGTCATCTTAAGCCCTATCAAAATGACACAAGTGTTCATTGTTATTTAGTCATGGCTCAGGTGCAACATATTGAATGTGTAGCGATGCATCCATTATCCTATAATAGTATTAAGCTCCCTTTCCTTAGTGCTGAAGGACCTTCCCACACTTTGAACTTTGACTGTACCATCCCTTTCCTTAGTGCTGAAGGGCCTTTCCCCTTTAAAGCCATATAACAGTATTTTTTTCTTTCATTTTTTAAGCAGGATCATTCCACACACAAAGTCCTGAGAATTTTTAATTTTCAAATGTTTTAAACACAAAATGCTATTTACAAATGTTTTGAACACATACTAACATAGCCTGACTCCTTGCTCCCACTCACACAACCCATGGCAGCAAGAGCTTCTGTCAATTAAAGCACAGGCTACACGTATAGCAATCTATCTATGAAATTTACAACAGTATAGAATCTGACAGTGTACATACCAAAGTTAGTATATTTACTAAAATAAGACAAGTCTAAATTGACAATACTGCTCAAAACTTAGCAAAAAATATATCAATCAGTAATTGTGGTGTGATCACGTTTTGCTCACTATTCCTGACACGACCACACCAGGATTCCGTCATTCAATTTCTTTCCTTCCACCATGAGAACAAACAGTTTATCCTTGACTCCTAAGTCCTGATGTCAAATCAGTTTTTACACTGTATTTGTAAGACAGTTCTTTACACAGTGCAGTCTCCACATGCCCATGTGTCATCACTGGGAGGGCTGACTGGCAGGCAGCTGACGTGAAAGATCCTCCGGCATGCCTTGCACCTCTTCATCCTTCCCAGACGCTCCTCCTGCTCGCAGTGGCAAACCAGTGAGATTTTGCTGACCCTGGTTGGACCTACCTCTTTTCTGTGGTTGGTCAAACGTGGAAACGGCGTGAGCCTCCCTTGTTTGAAGCACATCTCCAAATGGCTCCTCATCTTCCTGTTGTCATACAGAACCCTGCTCACATCCTGCCCCTCTGCAATGTCCACTGCCCAGGCGATGGTGAACAGCCCACAATCAACGAAATTCTCCTGACGCTGTACCTCTGGTAAGATGATGGTCAGGACGTTCCTCTCTTGGTCAGCATATGCGGCGTAGGATTGGTAAAGCTGGACCTTCAGAGATGTGGTCATGGCGGCGCCAAGGCTGTCATACAGGCACACCTGTCCATCTGTGTAAGATGACAGAACCCAGTGCTTTCTACTGTTGTGGTGGATTTGTAGCCCCTTTCCTCTCATCTTGGCAAATCCATCTTCACAGAGACCAACTGTAGGGGCTTCCAGCCCATGGAGTGCTGGGTACTGGTGATGGAGTAGCCTCTGGGCAGCCTGGATGTGGTCGTCTGTCAGCATCTCGTTGTATTTCAGAGCCGCCTTGTCACGAGCCCTCAAGTTGAGACTTAGCCTTCCAACCTCACGCTCCTTATGAACATCCAGAGCAACTTGAACTCTCTTGGTCAACTTCTTGCCACTTTTTTCTCCCTTAGACAGGATTATTTTTTCAGCTTGGTTGGTTTGTTGGCTTTCCTGGGCATCCTTCTCTTGTGGCAGGGCCAAGCTGACCCCTTGACTGCTGTCGTCTGTGCAGTTGTTTGGGGATGCAGGACGGACTGCGATGATGTGGCAGCCTCCCTTGGGGACGGGAAGTTCCACTGATGTAGCATCGGGAACATCTTTGACAGTCAGGACAAACTCAGGCTCTGTGGGCAGGTCTGCATCCTTCATCCTGTTAGGATAGAAGTGTTGGAGTTTCTATAAGTCTCATACATCAAGTACTTATCTTCAACACATATAACTATCAAGTGTCAAGGCTATTTTAACTACTGTCCTAGAAAGATCACTCTTCAAGCCATGATGCTCAAGTAGCATTTTTGTACTTACTTGAGATTAAAGAGCAGCTGTCTCTGCAGCCACAGTTTCTCCACTTTAATCTCCACCTCAACCATGCTGTCATGAAGAGTGTCCAGGCAGTTGTTATCTGTGCCGACGGAAATACTTTGGTTAGTTTTCTATAACATTCACACATAAGATAAATCATTTTTAACAACAATGGTCACCGTGATAAGAAAAGACATACAAGAGAGGCCAAATACTTTTTCCCAGGGCTTTGCTTGAACTGTGAATATATGTAAGATGACAATTACTAATTATAATGACAGGTTATGAAGCACTTATGCCAACTAGAGTTAGAGCTTACAATTTTGACAAAACATTACAGACCAAAGACTACACTACCTGTTAATGGAACTTTCCAGAAGCCGAAGAAGGCCGAGAAGCGTTCCCACAACCCCTGGATGAAGTCCTGGTCCTCCTCAGACATGATGTGGTTCCGCACCTTGGATAGGGCGCTGTCTATGATTGCCATGGCGATGTTCATCAGCACCAGGAAGATTATGCAAATGAAAGCAAAGAAGTAGATGGGGCCGAGGATGGGGGCTGCCTCCCGCAGCTCGTAGTAGTAGATGTTTCCAAGAGACATCTGGAACAAGGTGGAGAAGGACTTGCTGATGGTGCTGAAAAAAAGCAAATCATTGTAAGTAATGATAACCTGACCTAATCATAGTTACCAGGTATTATAACTGTCAAGCAGTCAAAAGTTCTTAACCCCTACTGAAGTTTGAAAATAGGTTGTAAAAAAGAGAAATCATCCAATTTTTGGACCCTAAAATACTTTGTACAAATGTATATGTGTTTAAATACGATCTTTGTTTCCTTACCTGTACTCAGTCACGGTAAGACCGAACATAAGATGAGCGTAGACGCCGAATGCTGACAGGTAGATGAAGAGGTAGAGGGTGAAGGAAGAGAACTCCACATACATCCCTCGGAACATGGACATCAGCTTGGCGAGGAAAGGGTTGAACCTCAGCAGCCGGAGGAACTTCAACATGCTGACATACGTTAGGAAGGCCAGGAACCAGCCGTAAACCAGGCTTATGTTCACTGCAGATCGGAAATGGTGGACTTCATCTTTAAAAGAAGAGTGTTGCATATAATTAGTGCTGTGTTAAATACAAACCTTCTAATCAGTCTGAGAATTTTACATTTTCAAAAAGTGAGCATGTGAAGGTGAAATTCATATCTAATATGCATATTATTAATTAGTGTTAAAATTTTTGCAAAAAAATGTGATGCACACCTTTTCCATTGTTGATTGCTGCTAGAGCCTTGGAGCTGTAGATTCTCTTGAAGCTGTACAAGGCGATGACAGTGAATGCCAAGAAGAAATTGAAGATTTCGACAATATTCCATGGCTCCTTCAAGTAGGCCCAGCCCGCTGCACGTGCAGTTTTTGTCTCTTTCCACAGTGTGTAGAGGAGAACGATGACGTAAATGATTTCAAGCAGGACGTAGATGTACCCGATTGTCCCTGGCCGTTGATGAAGTCGGAAGGCCTGCACGCGATGATGGGTGAAAACTCCGGCCGTCTCGGAGAATTCAAAGACCATTGTCAGTGATGTGAACAGATCCAGGTTTCCATTGTACAGCAATGCTTCCAAGAAGATGGCCCTCGTCCGCTTGTCAATCCAACGGTTGGCCTTCAGCTCTGCTAGGATGCTGCGCATCTCGTCTGCAGATTTTCCCAGGTTCAGACCGAAGCCGTCTCCCCAGTACTGCATTGTCACACCGTAGATGGGGAGACTGGGGTATCCACTGGGGAGGTGGGTCCATCCAGGGGCTTCTGACTCCGTTGCTGACATATTCCTGACCCTTTTCCAACCCTTTTGGAACGTCCCGGTCTCCTTGGTGTGTTCATTGTACGCTGATGAACATTCGTCAAATTCCTGCTGCATTGCTGCTGGCACTGTGCACAAGCCTGGAATGACAGGAGATGGAAGGATCTAAGTGACAAATAGTTATTAGCTTTACATTTTTGGTGAGTTGAAATTCTCTTATTTTTAGGTATTAGATGTTACAGTTACTCCTAATGGCTTCATGCTGGTCCTGACCCTGGTACTAAACTTACATTCACACTGATTATCCTCCTAGTGACGTCCCACTGGTCCTGTCCCTGGTGCTGAACTTACATTCACACTGACTATCCTCCAAGTGACTTCACACTGGTCCTGTCCCTGGTGCTAAACTTACATTCACACTGATTATCCTCCTAGTGATATCACACTGGTCCTGTCCCTGGTGCTGAACTTACATTCACACTGACTATCCTTCTAGTGACTTCACACTGGTCCTGTCCCTCGTAATGATTCTTTCAATTTCTCAAATGTAACTTTTCACTGATATATGTTTCCTCTAGTACATGTATAATAGTATTATGGTAATACTGCATATCATTCATTCTTTATTTTACACAATTCTATACCTGTGACATGCCATGTGAGCCCACAGCAAGTGTTCTGCTGGTACAAAGTGGTTCCACCCACCTGACTTTACTCGGGCTTGGATCATGCTAGGCGGGGCGACCAGGATTGACTGCATGTCTGCTGTGAAGCCCTTCTCCTGCCAGCGAAGCTTGTCACCATTGTAGGAAGTCTCCGGGTAGAAGTTTTCCAGATCCGTCTCATTCAGCCAGGACCAGAGGGAATGGGCATCATCCACCTGAGTGTGGAGAAATATTTTAACCTGGTGATTAATTGAAAAAAAATTATATAACAAATGTCTAGCAGAGTCCTCATGACAAATCTAAATTGTGCACATTGAATTCAGGTTTTAATATTCATCTTACAGAAAAAACATTTAACATGGCTAAAATATAAAGAACTTTCCATTGGTTTGAAAGGACTGTCTAACCAATGCAATGACCTGTGTGATCATCAGACACCAACTTCAGGATCTAGTATTTTGAACTTACCTCGTCCATGGACTGCACAAAGGTGTTGGTTGTGCTCTGTGTCTGATAGAAGCCTGGTGTGGTGTTGTGGTGTTCATTGGTGATGCTGAGGACAAGCAGCAGGCAAAAGCCAGACACCATGATGCCCCGAAGGATTTCGCCAGCTCTCCTGTCCCTGTGCTGCTTCATCCTTGCTTGTTTGATGTTGATTAGGGACGTCGTTGAAAGTCGCTCCATCTTTCTCCTCTTGCGGAATGCATTGCCTTTAGTTAGCATGAAAAATATCAATGAAGTCAGTATGGTGTGGTCTGTATATTTTTCAAATTCATTCTTTTTTCAGTTTGAAAGAACAATGGACAATGAACTTAAAAAGTGAAAACAATACCACAAATGGAATCCAGAAGAAATGTCACCATTAATCATAATATAACAGTGTGTACTACATTTTGTATATTTTTGTGCACAGTTTACCACTCATTAGAATGGTAGTAAGTGTGTTTTCTACAAACAGATGTAACCTCCATTAACATTCATCAGGACACATATTTCTGCAAATTCTAAACTTGAAAAAAATGTATTGAATGTAGTTAAGTCAAGATACATGTCACCTGGTATAATTATGATCATAACTTAACTTCATTGTTAGACATTACAAACTTACAGTTGAAGCCTGACTCAGCATTGGCTTCCATCCAGACGTGGCCCCGATTCTCTTCAAAAATCTTCTCAACAACTTGCCTCTTCCAAACAGATGAAGTCAAGATGGCAAGAAGAAATATCTGTAAGATACAATGTAAAAGCCTTGGTTGTTAAGGTTCCTAAATAATGAAGATGGTGATATCACACTTAGGATGACTGACTGGCTTGTATTCATCAATGTCCTATAAGTAAGTAAGTAAGTCAGGTTTTCATAAGGAAATGTGTTTGTCTTGGTGACCAAATACCTCATACAAGTACATGTACATTGTGCTTGAATGCTATTGGATATATATTATTTACCTGGTACTAAAGTAACAATGATATTATAGCTGGAATGGTTATGGTGTTGACAGGTAAGCATTTTAAAAGTTTTTGACATTCCTAGTAAAATATAGCAACTGCAACTTCAAGAAACATATAATCGTGACATTGTTCAACTTTTGATAACCTACTACATGTAGTTGGCAATTCAACTGAGAGCATGTCCTTACCTTCCCTGGTTGTAGAAGGAAGGTGTCCACCAGAAAGGTGATGAGGAAGGCAGACAGCCACCTCTTGGACTTGTCCTTCCCCCACTGCATGCTGTACAGCATGGTGAAGACAGCTGACCCCACAGAGGACAGCACCACCAGCACCCAGGCCACGTACTTGCACCCGTGTGGCAGGCCCTTGGCTGGACCCTGCTGCGTGGGTGCCTCAGGTGGGTTGCCCGTCTCCAAGTCTCGGACCCGGCGGTTGCCCCTGTTGCTCGGTCTGCTGTACTGGAACAGAAGAACTATCACCATGACTACAGGAAGGCAGGTGATGCTGGTCATGAACCCCGTGTAGACTCCGTTCAAGGTGAAGGAGAACGGTCCCAGGCTGAAGCCCTGCACGACCTGGGTTTCTATTTCGTCCTTCAGCCACATGGCGCTGGACACCATGGACACAGCGAAGAAACTCAGGCAGCAGCCAAGCCTCTCACTGCGGGTGAATGTGCTACCTGCAAAACATAATGGGGAAATTTTTCATCAAAACAAGTTGACCTTAACGATAAAGAATGAAAGCAACACTCCTGATCAAATGCAGCCAGCAAGAGGCGATGCATGTAAAATACAATTACAAAATGTACAACTGTGAATTTTTATGGACTCCCCCAGGCCAGCTAAGATGAAATGCAGTAAACTTGAAAATTAAGGAAAAATTAATGATACCTTTAGGCATAGTAGCGACGGACAGAAAGAGGTGTTCCTCTGTCAGATTACGGTGCAGACTTGCCGGGAACAGGAACCCGAAGGTTCGCAGGTCCTCCTCAGAGGCCACAGGAAAGGTCTTCACGACCTGCCCGTCCCCGCGGTCGGCTGCCAGCCACTCATCGCAGAAGAAATAGAACCTGCAGTTTCAGTTAAAGGAAAAAGAAATATCACTCTGTTAACTGCAATGTTTTGAGATTAATAAAAACAGAAACACACCCCATGTTGCAAAAGTTAAGAGTTAATGGAGGTTGAATAATAGTCAACCTATCATCAGTTTCCTTCCACTAGATAAAGACATTCAAAATTGGTTTTAAACATTTTACAAGTACACAATTTATTCTATTGTCCCTGTGTGCAAACAGTACAATTTAACACCACTACTCTTCAGCAATGGAAAAAATATGTTTCAAACAACATTCAAAGCTGATCAAAATACAAGCTGTTCAAAAAAATCACATTGAATTTCAAATTTCAATACAATATTAGCACAGGCAGTCACTGTAACAAGGAAACTGTTAGAAGTTCACACAATCATTGTACAAATCATGTGACCTAAAAGACAAATATAATTTGTGCCAGTTTTAGCCTCGGCACAACAACTGAAAGTGGGTCAGGTGAAATCTTTGATGAACAACCCTCCAATGATTGTGATTGGATGAATCTAGACAGCGCTTGGCTCGACTCACAGTTTGCCTGAGGTGAGATCCTGCACGGCTGCTCGGTCCACGTGCCACGATGCACGGCTCCCCTCCCCACTGTTGTCGTGCATGAGCTGCAGCAGCTCCACCTTACCCAGCTGTTCTGCTGTGCTGAAGGTCAAGGTCACCTGGCTGGTTTGGGTAAAAACCTAAACAGCAACAGAAATTCCACCTGTTAGGACATGTAAATGATTTAAAAAAAAGCATATTCAGAGGAAAGTTGGGTGATAGGTGTGTTCAGGGCAAAATTTGATAGCCTAACCTTCTCTGTGATGTCGACCAGTCTCACACCAGAGTTTGCTGCATCTCCGACCAGCTTAAAGGCAACAGTGGACTCTGTCCCAGCATGCTTAGCTGCACCTGTCCAGATGAGGAGGCGGTACCGGAAGTTGTGCTGAAGGTTGTCCAACTTTACAGCATGATTTACCTGTAACAATATGCAAGATGCAAGATTGTACATACTGACCTTGACCTTTCACAGAACACTATATCATAGTCTTACTGAAGAATGAAAAATATTGTAGGAACTGCAGACACCTTGCAAATAATGCTAGCTACTTTTTGAATCAATAAGGCCATGTTGATTTGATTATATGGATGACATCCTCCGGGAACCCCAAAACTGAAGTTTTGCAAAAAAAAAAGTTGTTTTCATTATGAAATCTACGTGGTTTTGAAGGTTTAACAAATGGCACAGAATATGGTTTGGTGAATAATCTAGTCTTTAAGTTCATTTCTTTACAACTTCGTCTTTTTTCGTTTGATTTTGGCATTCTACGACATTGGTATAGTTTTTATTTTTTGTAACTTACAGCATTTTTTTGCTCATTTTGCAACCGTTTTGTACGATTTACAGTATGGTTTAAAACTTTTTTTTTTGGAAACGGCCGAAAATTCATGCGCGCGCGGATGTCATCCATATAATCAAATCAACATGGCCTAAATATCAAACATGAATGCTGAAGAAAAGGTACCAGAACATCCAATTATAGAAATAACAAGTCTACAGAGTGACTTGATGACTACAAATAACCATTACACAGTCACTAAGGCCCCGTTCATGATTGGATATCTGTTGCGAATCAATTCGATTAAAAAAAATAAATCGATTCATTTGGGAACATGAACGCTCCAAACCGGTTCCGTTGCGATTTATTCTGAACCACCTCGCGAGGTGGTCTGAAACGATACATATCGATTCGCATTCGTAGAATTGTAATCATGAACGCGCGGGTGCGAATCGTTTCGGTTCGACGCTGTACACCTGGATAGGAGGGGGTCACGGTCGGCCATATTTCGTGACGCAGTGGCTTGTACTGAGGAAAATTCTACTTGAATCGTACAATCTTGACATCGAATTCTAATTACTGGTCGACTGAGGAAACGGGAGTTCCAATATTGACTTGGGAAATCAGGAGATCCAGAGGAAACTGGATGGTGTGCACTAGAACCTACCCCGGGCGTGAGGGCGAGTGGTAGCCCGACGGGGGCGTTGGGGCGGCGGACCGTGGGAGTTTGCGCCAGATGCGTCCGGGGCACAGCCTATGGGGAGGACGTGAGTCGGGAACGCCGACAACTCGCATGAAACAGGCGTAAACTTTACGCCTTACGAGCCGGGTTCCCGGGAAATGTTCAAAGAAATTGGGATATACATATGAAATGCAAGTCAATTCGAGGTGTGAAACCGTTTCCAGTGTGGGTGCAAGTTTTGAATCACGGACGCAAAAATATATTCCGTTTCGATTCGGATCGTGGCCAAACCGGAACACATTTCAATCATGAACGAGGCTTTAGGTACTGTTGGCCTGACATGGTTGACTGATGACGCCCACTTACAATCTTTTTTCCTGTACGCTCAGCAATCTTGATCGCGACTGATGAGAGCGAGTAGAGACAGAGCGCCACAATGATGGTTGACAGAACAGCACTGTTGTCTACAAGATCACTGAAATTCAACTCCTCAAAATTCTCAAAGATGAGGGTGTTTGGTGGTGTGAAAAAGTCACCCCCGAAGGACGTCAGATGGTTGCAGTGACAGATAGTGCTGGTAATGGTGGACTGATTGCTTATCTGTGGAAAACAGCAGAGAGACACTGTCAAAATTAGTTTTCATTTAGCCAAGTCCCAAAACTTGTCATTTTCCAAAACCTCTAGCAATCTAGAACATTGTGATATCTTTCCATCATTTATAATTACCATGATTACATGAGGTATCATGAACTAGAAGAACAATCCACATTGCCAAACATTTTGCTGTTTTCCTCATCAGTGAAGCAAAGACTGGTAAACAGCCTACTAAATAATAAGGGTTAACATAATCCATTCGATTTGTACTTTTTTCTTACAGGTGGGACTCATGGGTTTCACTTATTAAAATTGTTTTTAATAACAAAGCAATCTTTTAATCATTTACCTGCTGAATTTTGAGAGTGCTCACCTTATCTTTAATCAAGTCTACTTTCAAGAGAAGTATGTACAACATGTAGCACAGGTTAATCATTCTAACAATTGTGAATACAAAGTTGTCCCAAAACAAGGAGAGCCTAACTCACCACACAGCCGTCTGGCCTCCAGGCTTCCTGCGTCTCGTTCCAGAAGACACAGCTCAAACGGGCCCATTCAATCTGATAGGCGTAGGAGTCATTGGTGCGTGGCTCCTTCATGGCAGCTTTTTTCTCCCTGCCACACTCAGTCACTGGTCCTGAAAAAGTTAATAACTGATCTGAGAAGTGCAAAAATATGCATATAGCAACACCAAGTGTTGTATCCTTCACTAGATGGAGGTTCTAGATATTAAACAAACAAGCATCACAATGCTGCAAACTAGGCTGTTAACATAAGACAGCTTCACACTAAAACACTCAAAACCTCTTGACACATTTAAAACTGAGTGAGATTTCTATCCTTTACAACAAAAGCACAGATGCATATGTTACGTATGACCAAACATAGTGCAGTAATTTTGGACAAGATAATTCCACCTCAGATCTGGCACACACATTCACCTTCTAATGTAGTTCTGTCAAGCATGTTAAACTTTGTGTTTGCAGCATTTAACAAGTTGAACGTGAAAGCTACTCACCAAGTATTTGGACCTTGATGTAGTAATCCTCAGGACCATCCTTTCCTGAGATGAACATTTTTGCCTCTGTCTTGTCTGTGTCTTCCTCGCCACTCAGAGTTTTCATCAAGGCACACTCCTCGGGTAGGATGTACGTCTCTGTGGACATGTTGTAGTTTTGGTCATCTGGGCGGCTGCCGTACCTGCCCGACACGCGGTAGACCACACTGGTGTTCAGCGGGGTGATTGTGACCAGGAAGCCTTCTGCGGCGTTGGTGAGGTTCAGCAAATGGTGCCTGGAACTTCCGTTTCCTGGGGCAGGGAAGGTGATGGTCGCTGTTGCTGGTTTGTTTCCGGAGTTGGCCGGAATGGTGATGCTGAAGTCTTCAGTCAGGTTGTTGAAGGCCCCGGGAATGTTGTTCTGTTGGAGTGACAGCTCCATGACAGACGAACGTGGTTGGTACTCCCCGCGCCCCCAGGTAAATGGGTTCTGTTGAAACTGCATCAACTGAAAGACAAAATATTCTGTCATTTGTATGTTGAAGTAAAAGTAATGCTGTAATCAGGAAAGTGGTAAGACAAAAAACAATGATGAGAACTGAACTGTTACATTTATGTCATCACACGGATATGAGAGAGGAAAGACAATGATCATTGGACATGGTATGCAGTAATCATACCTTAATAGCGACACTGTGTGGTGTATAGTCCTGGAAAAGCGCTGCTTCAGATGGAGTTTGGAAGCTCCCATCCTCCGTCTGCACAACCTGGTCTCCAAAACGGTCGCTCCAGATCCTCTGGGCATGCAGCGTGATGCCGCCCCTCTCGATGGTGACCGGCGGGGCTCCCAGCCTCATGCCGCCGATGATGGCATTGAACAGACCGTCCAGGACCTGCCGGCCCTCCTGGACAAGTCTTCGTCTCTGTAAGGAACCATTAAGACATTATGATCAATTACTCAAGAACATGAGGCATTATACATGTCACATATATTTATATGACACATTCTATCTAAGTTGTTTAGTTAGACCATGAAAAATCAAGAGTCAATGACTTTTTGTTACTAGTATACAGTAATTACCTTGGCTTGGTACTCCTGTTCCTTGTCTTCCGACTTTTGAAGGCGCTCCTTTGGAGAGAGACTCTGGTCCTTCTCGAGATCAGAAGCGAGCTTCCCATCATCCACTTCTTCATCTCTCTCTGGTTCATCAAGCAGAGAACCAACAGACTCCACCAGAGCTGCAGTACAACAGAAGCAAACTTTTATGTTATCAAAGTAATGAAGACAGAACCAACAGACTCCACCAGAGCAGCAGTATATGTATAGCAGAAGCAGATTTTGACTTTACTGTTTTGTTATATGGTGATTGTCGCATGTTTGGAGTCTCAGAAAACATTGAGAAATACCTTCAAGTTATGTGACATAGTTTGTCTGGATAATATAAAATAAACCTTAGAAATAATACAGCACAAGAGACACCATATGACTGCTGAACATCACATTGTACTTACATCCTCCCACAGACTGGATAGTTGATGGGTCAGACATGTCCAGCTGGTCCAGTTTGCTGGTGATGGACTTTAGAACACCCATGGCCATGTCCTTTAGGAGAGCATAAACAGTTGTTTTGAAACTTGACTTCTAAAATTTGAAAGCAACACTGTCATTGCTTAACAAGCATCTACATGTAGATATTGAAACATGTCAGGCAGCATTCCGCTTAAAAATGCATTTTTGTGGTAAAAAAAATGGTGAGAAAAGACTTTGGTAGCATGTGAAAAATGAAGTGTTTTTGTTGAGCACATTGAAGTTTCAGAGATAGATGAATACTATTAGCCAATGACAAATTGCAATGCTTCATATCCATGCTGCTGATGTAACACTGAACAGCCACAGATATAGGTGAGGAGTCAAACAGTTTGCTTTGTAAAACCCCATCTGAGACTTGTACCTTATCCTCCTGTGGAATGCCAGGACAGGACTTAATGACAAGTGATGACAACTCAGACATTGTTTGCAGACGTTGTGGTGTCTGAGCCAGACCCGTTTCAGATGCCAAAGATTCAACTGCCTTCCTGCACATCTACAACAACGGATAACAAGATTGAACACCTTTGTTCCTTAACCTGGTCCAAACAGCATTTCCAAATGTTTCCCAATGTGTAACATCTACAAACTACCAAACATGGCTTACCTGCGCCTTTTCCTCAGCAGCTGGTGCCAGCTGCCCCAACACAACATCAACTCCACAGACATCTGCAGCCTACTCATTTAAGAAGAACAAAGTGGCAGAAAAAGATTGTCATTAGTAACAAAGAAAAGAACTATGTGTAAATGTAACATATACTCTCATAATACCACCATGTTTCATTTGGCAAAGGTGCAACCAATGATTTTTTCAAGTTTCTGTCCATGTTATACATATACATTTTATACATAATACATGTGTATTAAGAACTTTTGCAACCATCAGATGCTCTCTAGACTGTTGCCAAGAGCCTGTTGAATGCATGGGAATTAAGGGCAGGAAGTCATAATATTACATCTTATTGTGTACACATTGTGTAGATAATATGTGCCTTACTATTGGAGTATCATCTTAGGAATTAAAGGCAGTACTGTATATTTAAGATCATAATACAATTATGTACCTTATAGACAGGAACTAAGGGCAGTACAGTCAGAATATTAGATAATGATATTTTAAGTGCCTTAGTTATTGGACAGGAATTGAGGGCAGTATAGTCAGAATGTTTCTCTCTCTCTCTACAATGAGTTGTCCAAGTACAGAAGGAGAGAAAAAGTAGAGAGAATTCTTAATCACTACATCCAGTAGAAAGGGGTTCCCTAAAAACCCTCAGTTGTATCACTTCACAGTTTACCTGATCAGCTGGCATGTTGCCGGCAGGCAGCATGCTCCAGGACCTGGTCTTTGTGGTTTCTGCACAACAAAAACAGTAGACAATTAATTATTCAATTGCTAACCACATATCAAATTGCAGATGGCATCCAAGCATGGCATTCATTTAATAGGAGATTTTACTATCACCTGAACTTTACTGTCAATGGAACAGCATATTACAAAATTTAATGTATAGTTTTTCAAAAGCCTTGTCCAATCTTTGATCACTGGAAGGAAGACTGTCGTCATAATGGACTATGTAGAAATTTACATCTATTAGGTAAGTAAACATACATTTTTATCATCACACTAGCTCCATGAGTGGTATGTCAACTAACAACATCAATGCCACACATATCAGACTATCACATGTACACAAAGTGCCTAATAGTAATACCTATTGCATCAGATAAAAGAACAAGAGGGCACCAGATGGAACTAAGTAGGATGCCGGCAAAAACAAACACAAGACTTTTACTTGTTCACCATAAGAACGGTATGCTGGTGGAACAGTCTACGGGAAGAAGTGATTACAGCTCCCAGCGTGAACTGTTTTAAAACCAGATTTGACAATCATATGAGACTACATCCAGTAGTATAT